GGGTTAACGCCGTTCCAAGGCCGTCAGCACCCAGAGTAGAACCTCCGGCAGGAGAAGAGAATATTCGGTAGCGGCTGTGGTTGTCATGATAAGCTCTGAGGTGAAGGCAGGGAATGTTCGTCCTGGGTGCGGGGTCAGGAGAAGATGTTCGTCTTTCTTTCTTACTGAGGTGTGCGCAAGAGAGAAAGAGAACTTCGATCTCGTCGTCGAAGGTATCGTTGTTCGACGAGAGAAAAAGGCGAAGAAGGGGAGAGGTGGTCGATCCCTCTTGTATCTTCTCTGAGTTCGGGAACAAGGGAGTGGGAGCCGGCCACAGAAATAACACTTGTGCAGATGACGACCTTACTGGTGGTCTGGTCCCTAGGAATTGGGGAGGGGGCGCGAGCAAGCAATGCTGCCGACAAGGAACGGCCTGGTCCGGATGTGCAGCAGGCAAGACTCCACCGCGGGTAAGAGTGGTGGTGTTAAAAAAAGGGTAGGGATGAAATGAGTTGCTGCAAGCGACCCAAAGGTGGTGAATGGCGGAGAGGAGAGCAAACGAGACAGGAAAATGATAAGGAGGAAGTTTGACCGTCTCGTCAAGCCCAATGGAAAATCAGAAGGAGGAAAAGCGAGATGCAGTTAATTTTGAAGCCACGAGTGGAATTTTCTGAGGCTGTGGAACAACCAAGCTATTGCTTGTCGCTTGCTGCGAGTTGCTGCGTGTTGCTGCAAGGTTTCGTGGGTTCGGCGTGGGTAGGTGGTTCCAGACAGAAATGGGGGCCGTACTTCTGTGCTGGCGTTTCAAGCCTGAAGACGGAGATGGCCTGAAGGACCACGATGGTGATGATGTTTCACCACGACTTGTATGTGCCCAGGTCACTAATGAACTGTTCGCTGACGTAGCGTCGGCTTTGACCAGGGATGGGTTGAAAGAGGCACAGGATCCGGGGTCGCCGTCCTGATGAGTTGGGGCCAGGCGAATATATCCTGCCGGGAGGTTCTCCTTTATGCCGGAATTAAAGGGGGGTTGAGTAGGGACTGCGCGTTGTGAATATGACCTTTAATGCGGGAGGGGGGGGTACGAGACAGAGCTCAACGACAAAGAAAAAGAAGGAGAAAAGGAAGAGAAAAAAAAGTCGAGCGGACAACGACAAGAAAAAGAGTCATCGCCAGCACAGCGCCAGCGACAGCGACTGCGACAACGGGCAGCGACAACAGCAGCGCTCAGCAAGAGCCAACAGAGCAGCGGCATAGGGTAACGATGGCAAGCGAATCGAGTGGCCGTCACAGGCGTGAATGGATGCGATGTGGGCGTCTACTGTCAGTCTCCGAGTCCTGTTTCGCTGGACGTCAGCCCATCAGCAACAAGCCTTTTGCCTTTGGGCAGCAATGCTCCTTTCCCTTGCCTTGACTTGCGCACACCACCACCACTACCCTGGAAGGTAGAATGCCCTGGTAAATTCCATCTTCGTGGTCAAAATCCCGGCCAGACCAGATCGGCCTGTGGTCATTTCAACGCAAATGCGCAACTACTCAGTTGCTCAGAAAATGCGAGCGAGCGGGCTGGTGCCGCCTCTCCCACCTGCATCTGCGCGAATGCGGATGCGCAGCCTCCTTTGGACGTTGCATGTAAAGCGTTCGTGGATGGGCTGCCCACCTCCCCTCGAGGTATCAATTACTTACGGCGAGCGGTAGATAGCCAAGCAAATTCCCGCGCGACTTCGCACCGCGCGAATGCGTATATTTCAGTCATCGTCATCTTTATCGTCATTGGGATTCCGTGGAGGACGTGTCGTGGGTAAATGGCCATCATCTTGGGTTGGGCGTCGTCTCTCGAGCAAGTGGCGAGCTGCGTGCTTGGAATTGCCTCGGAGGGATGAAATGTGCTGTCAATTGACCTCACACACCCTCATAGTCCGCCTACTCGAAGCCGTACACCGCTGACAGAGAGTACTGGCCGACGATCGTCCTCACGGCCTCTCCTCTCCTGCTACTGTGCCTGTATGAACAACACGGCAGGACTGGTAAGGCAGAATGCCACGCGACGGCAACGTGAAGGCCCGAGTCTCGACGAACCACAAGCACAGGGCCGTGTGTGTATGCTGCGCGAAAAGAGGACATTAGGGGCCAGCCCAAGTCTCAGGATAAAGACGCAAAAATAGGCGCGGTGCGTTGCAAGGCCGCAGCATGTATGCCCAATGAACGAGGATGGAGATGACCTCCCATCCAGCGATCTGCAAGAGGGAGGAGGCTGGAAGGTGGATTCTGGAGTGCTCGAACGTTCTCTCACCCAGACGCCCGTCTGCGAGCCTCGTTTTGACGTAGCACCTGCCCGGCTACCTACCTATCATGCGTACCTACCTAGGTAGGTACTTGAGGGGTATGCATCAGGTCGCCAAGGCTGTTCCTCGTGAAACACACCTTCCACACATGCTGCTCTTTTTGAGGCTCCAGATCTCCTGATATCTTTCAAGCAAACCAGAATCATCGGAAACGCACAAAAACTGCCACTGAATTCGCTGCCATTGCTTGACTCATCTGTCGACTTCCAGGACGCGGCGTAGCGGATCGCCCCCCCTGTTCTTCCTGCACCTCCAGCGCACATTGCGCCATTGCGCATACCCCTAGGCCCCTACCCTACCTTGGTTACCCCCTCCCTCGGCGCCAACGCGGACAGGCAACGGGCGCGATCCATCCGTCTGCAGGTCCCGTTCCCGTTCTTCCCCTCCCTCGCCATAACATCGTCAACCCCTCACATGGACGCTACTTTCTATCGTGGCACGTTCGCTCCACTGTCGTAACCGAATTTCACGTGATAATCCCTCAATGTACCATCCCCGTCACATTGTGACGGTAGGAAAGCATGTGTGTTCCATGCGGAAACTCAACACTGCATTACAGCTATTTGCGAGGGTAGTAAAAGCCCAGGCTCTAGGAGCTCATGTCTGACCCCTCCCTACGAAATCATGCCCGAGTTCCCATGTCTCCTCCGCTCAACGCCATACCTTTCCCGAACGCCTTGGCCATACTGTACCTCATCGCGATGAGGAGGCTGACTAGAAACAAAAGAAAACGCAGCAAGTGGTTCAGCTCCTTCCGTTCACACACACACACCAATCAGCCATGTGATCCCTTTGTCGTGAGCTGTCCATGTACCGTCCTAGAATGTGAGGCGGCTTCCCTGCGAGCCGGGAACAGGGTTCGTGAAGCGCCTCTACGTCGCTGTCGTCTTCGGCATGGGCTTCGTCGCCTTCGAATTGCGCCTCTGCTGCTTGCGTGGTGGGAGCGGCTCCTACTCGCCCTTGCCCGAAGTAACCTTGGCAGCCTGGATCGCACTCATCTTTGTGATCCAGGCGGGCGCCGGCTGCACCTTGCGAACAGTCCGCAGGTCGTCGGAAGAGTAGCCAGGAACCCGAATGTTGTACTTGCGCTCGAGAACAAGTTGGATGTCGCGGATCTCGAGCACCTTGGAGCCGCGTTCCTTGGCGTTGCGGCAGGCGGCGTGCAAGACGTTATCCACAAAGCTGTCTGCCAAGGTCAAGACGTTCTGGGTTTTAGTGTTAGCCACGCTCTTTCCTCGACGCCACGGCGCATTCATGTACTCACCTCCTCCACCTCGGGACTGAGAAGATTGCCCTCCTGGCCTTCGGCTGTCCCGCCACAGACCTGGCGGACGAGCTCGTCAAGTTTCTTCTTGCTGAGGACGCGATCTCCCTCGGCCTCGTGCGAGAAGGCCGGAATCTTGCCAAGGGCAGGATGTCCCATGACACCACCGGCGATGCCAGTGCCGCCGGTGTAAGTGGGACGACCGGCACCAGCGTTGTTGACCATGTTGACCGGCTGCGGAACTTGGGTCGCTTTTTCGGGCAGTTGCTTGGGTATAGGAAGCTTTGATTGCAGCGTTTGCGTCTGCTGCGTAGGTTGACCAGGGTGAGGCTGAGGGTGTCCTTGCTGAGAGTTGCCAATGGCGCCAGAGCCCATAACACCTTGACTGATGGGTCCTGCCGATGACGGTGTGCCTGCGCTAGGTTGAACAGGCGTGGCTGCGACAGGTTGGGAGTTGACTCTCTGGTTCGCACGAGAAACGGCAGCAGAGTGACTGAGCGCCTGAGTGCTCACTCCGGTCGCTCCCGTCTGAGGTGTCTGGATGCGCGCCGCGGCTTGCGTGGGTGTGCTTGCAGACTGTGGTTGGCCAGCAGTGCCAGCGACGGAAGCAACAGCAGTGTTGACAGGAGGCGGTTGAATGTGTTGGTTCTGCTGCGGCGGCGGGGCAGTCGTGGCGGGCTGGGCTTGAGGTGCAGGTTGTGAGTTTGCGGCAAGTGCCTGTTGGCCCTGAGGCTGCTGGGGCAGTTGAGATTGTTGTTGTTGTGTCGTCACCCCGTTGGCGATAGGTGAAGCACGGCCTGCGACATTCATCTGCTGCATCTTCGCTGCCTCGACAGCTGCTGAGGCCGCCGCTGGCTGTGCAATCTGCTGTGTGCCTGACACAGGCGGAGGGGCGCTTGCTTGAGGGACAGCCTGTGCAACATTTGCAGCCCCCGGTGCATTGGGATTGTTCTGCTGCGCGGGACGAGCCGCTGCAGCAGCGTTTTGTGCATTGGGGTTGGCTTTGCTGATCTCCTGCGTCTTCCTGAAGTTTTGAACAAACATCTGGGCCTCTTGGAAGACTTTCTGGCTGTGGTCTTTGCGAATTTGAATCTGCTTCTGTTCCTCTGGACCCAAAGGATTCCCTTTGTCCTGCCTATCCTTGACAGCAGCATTCAGCTTTCGCAGAGTGTTGCCCATATGCTCCATCTGCATTAACGAACGCACGTAGCGCTGCTTTATGTCTGCGCTCCACTTCGCGGCCATCTCCGGACCCTTTTCAACAATCTGTGGCGGAGGGTTGAAGGTCATTGACCGAATATGGTTCAAGATGTGCTCTGGAACATTGGGTGGCTGCGATTGCTGAGGCTGCTGCTGCTGCTGAGGCTGCTGCTGCTGAGGCTGCTGCTGCTGAGGAGCCTGCTGTGGAGGTTGCTGCTGTGGAGGTTGCTGCTGCTGAACTTGCTGCTGAGGTTGCTGAGCCTGCTGAGGTTGCTGAGGAGGAGCCTGGGGAGGAGCCGAAGCGGCCGCGTTTGCAGCCGGCGCCGGACTGGCATTCGTCGGAAGAGAGGCTGCCGGGTTCGCCTTTGGCGCATCGGGGGCATCTGGAGCTACTGCTGCCGTATTTTGCGTGGCTGGCGTCTCTGCGGGAGCAGGTGGTGCGGGCGATGCGCTTGCTGCCGGTTGCGCGCTGCGCTGGGTCTGTTGTCCAGCCTGACCTTGCTGCTGGGCTTGCTGCTTCTGGGCTTGTTGCATCTGTTGAAGCCTGCGGGCCTGGAGCTTTCCCATGAGCATCTTGGTGAAGTCCTGGATCTTCTTCTTTGCGTCCTGGTGGTCCGATGTTTCCTCTCCGTGTGATTCCATCGTATTCCACAATGACCTCAGACCCCGTTCATATTTAAGCTTCTCTTCGTCATTGAGAACTGGCAGATTGCGCATCATCTCCGGTCGGTACATTGTTGAGCGCTGGTTGTTCGCGGCAGCAGGATGTCCAGCGGCGCCTTGCTGCGCGTTGGGCTGGGGCTGGCCCTGCGGCGCAGGCTGGCCCTGGGTGTTCATGGTGATGAAGTAGGTTAACGAAGTCGAGGAGATGTGAGTCGTATCGACAGTAAATGCGTTCGTTGATTATATGCGCAAGATCGGGGTTGAGGATATGCTGGGGGCGCTGCCACTGATGACGGAAAATATTGTTTCCGGTGATCGTCGAATGCTTGATTGAAGCTGGGAGATGTTCACGAGAGGTCACTAACGCGACCGTGTGCCATCCTGGTCGATGCATGATGCCACAGTCCCCGCGGCTCTAGTGCCACATCTTAGTCAGGAAGGAGCCCGATATTTGCACCGCCACACAAAATGTGACACGCACTGTTAAGAGATCATGTTGACAATACAGAACGACTACTTCAGTAGTGCTTGGTTGAAATGGGCGATCACGAAAGACCTGTCTCGATCGCTTCCATTGTCAATCTTCATACACCGAAGGTCCATGTTCCTCGACTTGTGTTTCTAGGGTACCTTCATATTGGCCTCATCGCACGGTACGGCTTGAAATTACAGGTAGGGAGGAACCGACTTGAGGACAGGGAGGGAGGTGCTTCCTTAGCATCGCTCTCTCCTGCAAGGCAGCGACAGTAAACTGCGTAACTTGCGAGCCTGATCGCATGATCATCTATGAGTATATTTTAAACGCAATCACATACGCATACATATGCTTCGTCCTCGTCGCATCGTGCCACAGACGCGCCTTTCCACGTCTGCGGATTATGTAAGTAGTCTCTCGAGAGACGGCCAAGACAGCTTGGGCAGGCAGACAGGCAACATCGACAACGTCACCCACGGTCACTACAGCAGGAGCGACTGCCACTGGTTCCGGCCCCAGTAATTTACTGCGCTAGCTCTCGGTACGTATCCAGTACCTCTCTGCTGGGCACCATCACCGCACACAGCCCTGTACCCCCATTACCGCGCCCCCGTCGCACCTGTCGTGACCTGGCTGGGCTCAATCTTTGAAGCTCGATGTTCCATCGCCTTCCTGCATCACAAGACAAATCAGCATCGACAGCACCAACACCACAACAAACCCCCATCAACGACAGACACCCATCCCCACCGCCCGGCATCTGACTACCTTCAGCACGCCTAGGCGCCTCTATTCGCACTTATCCACGAAGACACGTGCTCCGATATCGTGACACGCAGCCAGCTCCTCCTGCCGGGCGCGCCTTGCAGTCGACTCGCCACGATCATCGAGTCACCAAGCAACCCAGAAGCCATTCACAAAACCAAGAGCCCCCGTCACTATGCCAGGAAAGACCCCCAATAGCAACGGCAACAAGCCTACCCAGAACGGCTACAGGAGTACCAAAGATGTCGACATGAAGGATGCAAAGTCCAAGAACAAGAAGGGCGCCAAGGACGGCGACGAGGAGATGACGGTTGTGGTCCCCCCTTCCAAGGGCACCAAGCAGTCCTCGACTCTGCCACCGCCGGATGCTGATGGTGATGTCGCTATGGGTGACGAAGAGAACGCCGACGACGCCGCCGCTGTCAAGGTTGACCCTGTCGTCCAAGCCGTGGCAGGTATGTGGCGACGTAACTCTCTGCGAGCTCGGTGCATGTGACGCTGGTGCTGACGACTTGTTTACAACAGACATCAAGAGCAACTTTGCGCTGCTCGACCGTGCCGTTGCACTGTTCGATGCCCGATTCTCCCTCCGAGCGCTGAGGTCAATCTCGACTATCCGTAAACGCCTGACCCCAGACGTCATCGCCCAAGCAATTGTCGAAACCTTTCCCGCGACCGTCACATCTGGTAACGCAGCTAAACAGCTCCTTATTGCCATTGGTCGAGAGAGTCTGCCACTGGGCCAGTCTTCTGCTTCGGAGATGGAGGTCGACAGTGATGTCTCAAAGGCCGCCACCAAGAACGGCTCCAAGAAGGAAGTCAAGGAGATCATTCCCGAGGTGGACCTTTTCCTCGGTATTCTGATCCAGGTCCATCTCTTCGACACGAAGCAGTTCCAGCGTGGTGCCGATTTCTCAAAGTACCTCTCGGATCGGATCCAATCCCTCAACCGCCGCACACTGGATTCGCTGTCTGCCAAGGTCTATTTCTATTATTCGCTTTTCTGCGAGCACCTCAACCCCCAGCCGCCTTCTTCCCAGTCCCCCGTCGTTGCCATCCGCCCAACGCTCCTCGCTGCCCTGCGTACTGCAGTGCTGCGCAAGGGACATTGATACACAGGGCGTCGGTCATTGTTCTGCTGCTGCGCAACTATCTCTTGACGTCTCACATTTCTCAAGCTGATCTGCTCGTCTCTCACACCCAGTTCCCGGAGAACGCCGTCAACAATCAGGTTGCCCGCTTCCTGTACTATCTTGGGCGCATCCGCGCGGTCCAGCTACGCTACACCGAGGCACACGAGCATCTCACTGCCGCGACGAGGAAGGCGCCATCGAGTGCCTGCGCGGCAGGCTTTTCAGCCACCGCTACGAAGCTTCTTTTGGTTGTGGAGCTGCTGATGGGTGATATCCCTGAGCGGTCAACTTTCCGTCAGCCTACTCTGGAGATAGCGCTGCACCCGTACTTCCTGCTGGTGCAGGCTGTGCGCGTCGGTAACCTCGAAGACTTTGAGACCATTATCGCAGACCACGCCGATGTCTTCCGACGGGACGGCACTTACACCCTGATCCTTCGTTTGAGGCAAAACGTGATCAAGACGGGCATCCGCATGATGTCTCTGTCTTACTCCCGAATTTCGCTGCGGGACATCTGCATCCGCCTCCACCTCGGAAGCGAGGAGTCGGCTGAATACATTGTCGCCAAAGCCATTCGCGATGGTGTGATCGAGGCAACCCTGGATCGTGAGCACGGATTTATGAAGAGCAAGGAGATTGGAGACGTCTATGCTACGCGAGAGCCGGGCGAGGCTTTCCACGACCGAATCCGTGCCTGCTTGGCTCTGCACGACGAGAGCGTCAAGGTAAGCTGATTGAATCACAGCTTTTAAGAGTGATGTACTGACATCCGAAACCTAGGCCATGCGCTTCCCCATGAACCAGCATCGCCTGGAGCTGAAGAATGCCCAAGAGGCTCGCGAGCGTGAGAGGGAGATGGCAAAGGAAATCCAAGAGGGCGACCTTGACGAGGATGACCTTGGCGGCGAGTTTGACGGCATGTAATTGCTCTTGCGCTTCTTTTCTGTGTTACCTACGAAATTGCGCTCCTGCTTCGAATGCGCGAGCCACCGATGTTGCGTGAGACGTTTCTTTAATCCGTCAACGAGGACAGCTTTCCAGTGTCTGGCTCTTTAGGGAATAGATCATTCGGTTAGGAAAGATTCGAGGTGACGCGAGGCAGGAGAACGAGAATGACAGGTGCGACTGCTTCGGACAGGGGACGTGCGTGTGCGTGGTTCGACGGGTTGCCTATGTGCGCTCGTCGTGTACTAGATATGGCGAAGACGAGGGCTGGGTGAGCAAATCGAAGCTGCTATCATTACGTTGTGCTGCAGTATGGCACTGTGGAACTGTTTAACAGGACCGAAATCCTCCCGAGCCATGTCCCAATTTATTCCTTCCTAGTCATCGTAGTGGTGCTCCATGCTTTAGGACCCTGTGGGCTGTGAGTTTTTGTTTCATGCCGGTGGCCAGACCAAGGCGATTTGGCAGCGGGTGCCTGCATTGGTTTGAGATCATTGTAACTCTTGACCTCGAGATCAACTGTTTGAAAAAAAGGATACGTATCTGAGCAAACGTGGACTCTGATTCTCACAGGCCCCCCCCTGCTGTGACGAGGGCTCCATCTTGATAGAAATTCGGCCCAATATATGTGTGTTTTGGTCCTCAACATTTATCTAGGCTGAGTTTGATAAACACTTGATCGCTTTCAGAGTCTTTGAATCATGCCTAGCTTGACTATCGAAGGTCAGCTGCTCCGCGTGTGACAGCTCAGACTCCATCCGACATGGACGGAAGCACCATGATGCACTCGACTCTTCTGTATCCGCATTCTCGCGTAACCAGCTTTCCGCTCAGGCCTCCCGAGGACCTACCAAACAGCACGCATACCCGTATCCCGGGATCGCATCAGATCTCACGCAACTGGCCTCTTTCGTACTTTAAAGGCATCCGCGGCCTCTGCCTCGAAACCTCACTCATGCCCAAACCCCAAGTCTCCGTCCTCTCAAGCTTGAATAACCTCTCGAACCCCAGGCAGACATGACAAGCAAAATGGTGAGCCTCTCGCTCTTGACGCACAGTACCATCATCCACCAGTAGATTAATCTTGCGTTTCGGCACCAGAGACTTGCCAGCCTGCTCCCCCTAACCCTCTACCCCCTCACGACTGCGTCCGAACCGGCATTCTGGTTCTGCACCGCCCCGCTCCCGCTCGCCCAAGACGCCCCAGGCCAAGCTGCCCTCGTGCACGCCGCGGCAGCCTTCACCCGCCTCTACGGCGCAGAACCACTGACGCTGGCGCCGGAGCAGGCGCAGGTTGCGGTCTGCGACGGCCTCCTCTTCGGGCTGTGGAACGGGGCGGCCGAGCCGGGGACGGAGGATCCCGGCGCCCGGGGTGCGCGCGACGCAGGCTGGATCCAGGCATCGGCACGCAGGCCCTCGTGGCGGCGGATGTGGGCGCGCCTGGCGTGGCGGAAGAACATGGTGCTGAGCTACATGTTTGGGGGTTGCTGAAGACGGGTGGGAAGAACTGGCGGGGCGGAACTGACCGAGGGTGAGGAAGTGCGCATGATCAACGACGTGAAGACCAAGATGGAGGACGCGGGGAGGAGAAGCATGCAGGTTCTGAGAACAGGGGCACCAATAGAATGCTAACGCAACGCATGCTGACAACGCTTCATTACTTCATGTCTATCGCTTCGACTCTAATTACAACTAATGATATCTTGCTCGGCCGCCGCCGCCGGGCCCGGAGGGATACCGCCGCCCGTTGACGATGAAGGGCAACGGTTTCTTAGCACCTGGTGATGGTGCTGTGACGGCGTTCCACATCTCACGAATGGTTGGGCGTTGATTCGGCAGCATGCTGTACTGCAAGCTATACAGGTTTCTACGATTAATGGGCGGGACGAATTGGCCTGTGAGGAGGGAGAAGAGCACGCGCGGCGAGAGATAGTGCTTGCGGATGCGATTGCCCATTTGGAAATACTGGTGGAACATGGCGCCGAAGGTGAGGGGTATGGGCTTGTGCACTGTTAGTAGGTAATCCACCTGGATTGATTTTTACACAAGTGGCTTGTAATGAGACGGACCTTGAGATAGATGACGGACGTTGGGGTTTGGGAAGGGGTCTGGGGATGAGACCTCGCGTCGACAGTATTACGCAACTCATACCGGATGCCTCCTGGGGTATGATTAGCTTAGAAAAAACAAGCATCCCAGTTTGAAAGACATACCGGGCAGGCGTCCAGGGTCCTTGACCCGCAGCATGAGAGCAAAGAGAGGGAAATGGTTTAGGCAGGATAGGAGAGTGTCGAGGACCGCTTTCAAGCTGATGATGACCATGCGAGCCACGGCAAAGTTGAGGTAGAACACGACAACGGTCGGCAGGAGAAAGAAGAGGACGGTAAAAAGGATGGTGCCGACGAGCAGCTGGTCGAGGTCGTAGTCGCAAGAATCGATACGATTTCGGAGGATGTTGTGTTTCTTGCCCCTGAAGAGATGGAAAAGCGAGATGAGGATGGTCAGCTGCCAGTGGAAAATGCGTGCGGACGCCATGTAGAAACAGTGTATGTGGACAGTCAGAAGCGAAAGGAGGTCGGACACCACAGCGATTGGCATGCTCGCCCCGGCGAAACTGGAGAAGCCAACAAACCACACGACATGTGGAAGCATCTTCTGGGTAATAACAATACACCCTGTGTGTCTGTTAGCCATGCTTCCTTTCGACGTGTGAGCAAGCACTGCATACCTGACCAATACTCAATGACCCAGAGAAACAGGTCGCCAAGGAACAAAGCCAGCTCACGGTTGAGCTTCAGGCCAGCCGGGTAACCCATGAGCCACGAGATGCTTCTCCGCAAGGCCTCGACGGTGTACGTCTGCAGCAACTGCGCGATCGTACCTGCGACCCACTCTCCGTTGTCGATGATGTAGGAACCCAGGGCGATGCCAATGATGACATCGTTTGCGACCAGCCAAAGGCTATTGTAGAAGCGTATGTAGTCCGGGTGGCTTGTGGTGATGCTCTCCCAGTTGTCCTTGCGCTGCCGAAGTGTCCTGTACTGTATCGGCCAATAACAAAACTGTTGTAACCGGATCTCAACTTGCTGCGCAGTTGCCGATATGTCCTTGAGGGCCGCGTAGTGAGGTCGCGCACGCCACTCAAGGATACGCAGCAGCACCTCGGCGACGGCTCGATGCCCCATCAGCATGTACACGAATCCCCATTGGATGACAGGAAACAGGTACAGCACGACGAGATCCCACACGTAGTTCCTCATCGTCTCCGCGTGCTCTGCCACACGCTCCGACACACTGAGCGCTCGCTTAGGGCGGGTTCCTATGCGTGAAACGTTCTTCTGAAGAAGGCGCTCAAGCTCGTAAGCCCAATTGACCTGACTGATGATCTTGGGCAATGCCTTCTCCTTCAACGATGGCGAGCGCTTGACTATGATGTGTTGCTTCAGCTTCTCGACGAGCTTGCGCTTCTGCTCCTTTTGCCGGTTCTCCAGGCGCTCGTGCTCCAATTCGCTCTCGACTTCTTCGGCACTTGGCGCGTTGTCCCCGAGAGCAAGCGATATCGGTCGCAAAGATATGTACTGCATCTTGCTGGGCAGAGGTCGGTCGTAGAGAATGATCTGGATGCTCGTAGCCTTGGCGCATGTGATCTGCGGCACCCTCCAGCCACTTGCTGTCACGGCTGAGATGAGGAAGGGGTCCAGCACAACATCATCGCCAGCATTCGTCAGTCCCAGTACATGCATCGAGGCATGTCCGCACCGTTCGTAGATATGGCTGACGGGATGAGGGGAGTTGCGGAACAGCGTTCCGACCTTGAAGGCGAACTCGACATGGCCCGGCTGTTCATCGCATTGTCAGTGCAGGTCCCGAAAGCACAAAGACGGGCGACGGAGGATGCTTACGTCGACGTGGTCCAGCACCGCAACGACAAAGACATCCAGAGGGGAGTTGCGCCAACCCACAACGACGCCCGGCAGCTCTGACCTCTGGATGTCTGTGGGCCAAAATATCCTCATCAAGCCATCGCTTCCTTGCATGACAGTCGCGAGTTCGCGCAGCGCGATCAGAAAGAACCCCGCCTACGTAATTGTTCTCGAGCCGATACGCCAGAGGCGGGAGATCGTGGGTGCTGCGCGAAGCGTTTGGTCAGCACATGCTAGCTTTCAGATCGACAGCGAGTCGCACATGCACAGAACATGTCTCATGGAAGAGGACGCATCAGGTCCAGGGGTAGGGGAGGGGAGCAGTTGGTTCGGTCGTACCAGAGTAGCTTCTCTCGTCGCAAGACGTTCCACGGGTATGAAGATGAAGCAGTAAAGGAGCGTCAAGAGAGCGAACCCTTTGGCGGCGCGTTGCTGTTTGCGATGGCGCACACGGTCAGAACATTTGATGCAGGGCAGCCCAGCGCAGAGCAGCGCAAGAGGACCAGGCAAGGTCTTTGGAGGAAGTAGATCTTACAACGACTCCGTGGTCCCAGGCAAAGATGGCAAGCTCATAGAGGCGCGTAACGAGGTCCCATCGAGCGGTGATGTAGCCGGCTACGAAGATGGCAAAGCTGACGACCGAGAGGGGGTGCATAGAATCGCTATGTCCTGGGGCATCGCATGCCGAGCTTGAATGTGGTCGCCAAGATGGAGTTGAAGCTCGGAATTGGTGCGAGTGAAAAGCTCGGGGGGAGAGAGACACCTTTTGGAGGGGGGCAACGAGTTCGATAGCGTTTGGGAGAAGGTTGAACAACGAGCAAGGTGTCGTCAACGGAGGTTATTGTCGTGGTGGTTTGTCGGAGTCCAAGCGAGCAAGTCCAACGTGGAGGGGAGAGTATCACAGAGGTGAAAGCAAGCTTCGAGTGCGTTCGGCAGCGCCAGGGGTCTCAGGTCGAGGGAGGGGCCACTTGGACTTAACCCAGGTTCCTCGTCGATTCTGCGGTAGCAGTGCGTCCGGTGAAGCCATTTCCCATTTCCCATTTCCCACCTCCGCTGGGGGCTCCCCCCCCCCCTGTGTGCAAGGCCCAGACCAGGCGGCGGGCAGGTGTTCAGGCGTGTCCAATGGCGTCACCCGGGAACGAAATGGTTCAGATCCACCGTTCCAGTGGATCGCCAGGGATCTGGGCCCGCTAAAAGGCCCGGCACTGGCGCCCCAGGTCGTTGACCTTAGGCTTCTCTTTCCAAGAGGGCCTCTTGGCTCTTGGGGGTAGCTCAAGGCCTGTTAGGGAGAGTCACGTGTGGTGATGGGAGTGGAATGCTGTGCAGTGTTCCCATAATGTCCTGTTTGCCTTCTGCCTTGAGTTGCGGCGCCGCGGGACCTCAGAAACCAGCAGTTGAGTGGGCGAATCAATCAAGGGGTGAACATAGTTTCTTTTCATCAATGTATCATTGATCATGCCACGCGATGTTTCTTGCGCGCGCGCACATGGCCACGCTGCGTGAAATCCCGACTTTGTATTTCTAGGAGACCAAATCCTGAAGACACCAACAAGATGGATGCCCTTGAGGTGCGATGAGAAGTGTGTCAAAAATGCAAACCCTATACTCCTTTTTCCATGCAAGTAAAGCCGACCTACGTGCCGTCCTGCGAACCATGTCAGATGCAAGCTGCCTGCCAAGAATGTTGTGAACCTACACTTGCGACCCAGGTATGCCGCGTCATTCTCCCTGTTGTCTTCCCTCGACTCTTCCACCAGCTTGTCGATGCCGCGCTCCTTGATCGCAACCGTCAAGCACTTTTGATAGCTCTTGAAGAGATCCGCGCACTCATTGTTGTCGGCGCCAACGCCTCGCAGGTACTCTGGTGTGCTGTGTGAGATGCAATGCGCAGGCCTAGGGGTGAAGGGGACTGGGCCTACTCTCGCTGTACCACTTCAGAAAGCACGTGTCGTATCGTCTGTTCCCCGTAAGCTTCGCATGGCTTCTTGCAGGATCAAATCTTCTCACTCCTTGACCTCGTTGCACTCGGGCGCAAGAGAGGCAGACATTTTGAGCTGGGTTATCGCAATGGATGGAAAGGTGAGTGAGGGAGGCGAAAGCCAGGCCACACAGGCTTCCTGAGGCTCACTAAAACGTGGTGAAGCTTCGAGGTACGTACCTCTGGAACGGCTGGCTCGGGCTTGAGTACAGGTCTGTCAATCTTGCCTCAAGTCTTGCTGAACCTCCGATACAATTCAGCTAGAGAGATGTACGATTCAGCTTGAGATACCACATCGGGATATTTGGCTACAGACCGGACTTTCCATATCAAGAAGCAAGGGATCTGCATCAAGATCGCACCGCGTTGCACATCAACATCGTGGAACTTGATGCACCTCACGATAAGTGGAGAATCTGAAGACGTTATCTTATCGCACTTGAAAGTCGACCCTTTGCGCTACGATTTTTTGACCAAGCCCACCTCAACTCCCAAAGCCCGACAAGGACGATCGCATCGCAACCTACGACCGTCATCGTCGCCATGGCTTCTCCCGACTTCAAGGCCTTGCAGGACGAGGTGCAGAAGGCGCTCGTCACGACCGTCAAGTCTGCCAACCGCATCGCCGCCGAGGACCTCGCTTTTCCAGCGCACCGTCGACCCCTCCGTCGCCGATGAGCTCGATGAGACGACCGCGCGGCTGCTTGGCCTTTCCCACAAACTCCTCAAGTCGGCTGCCGAGGTCTGTGGACAGGGATCTGTCCCCGAGCTTGAAGATGCCGACGATGTGGACATGCACTGGCGCAAGATTGTCGACGTTCTCGACAACGTGCTCGAGAAAGCAGACCGGTCCATTGACGAGTTTACTGGTGTGCTGAAGAGGAAAGATGCGCCTACAGAGACGGTAGGCAGCTCATTTCTGTCAATGTTGTTATGAACCGTTCGCTGACGTGTAAAAAGACTCCCAACGCGAAGAAACCCAGAACCGCTCTTGCCTCCAACATGAGGAACGCCAACATGGCCAAACCCCAACTCGAATTCGAACGCGCAATCGACAATACGTCATGGAAGCCTGTTCTCTCCAAGAAACCCAACGCATCCGTGCCCTTGGAAGAAAGCCTGGCGAGAGACTCGGCAGACTCTGGCTCCAAACACCCATACGAAACCGAAATCCTGGCAGCGAATTACCCCGAGCAAGTCTACCAGAAGGCCGAACCCATTCTCTACCACCCTGTAAAATCCACTACTGCGAAATGGGTCGACACGTACGAAGGTGTTCTCGAGATGTTGGGGGAGCTCAAGAAGGCGAAGGAAATTGCGGTGGATTTGGAACATCACGATACCAGGACATATGCCGGCCTCCTCTCGCTCATGCAGATCAGCACCCGCGATCAAGACTGGATCGTCGACACCCTGAAGCCGTGGCGTCACCAGCTCGAGGTTCTCAACGAGGTCTTTACCAATCCCAAAATCGTCAAGGTCAGTCTTACAGAGCAAAAAATCCCACCCATCGTGTATCTAACAAGTCAGGTCTTCCACGGCGCGCATATGGACATGCAGTGGCTACAGAGGGATCTTGGTCTCTACATCAACGGACTCTTCGACACGTTCTTTGCCGCTGAAATTCTCGGCTACCCCCAGCGCAGTTTGGCATACCTTCTCAAGCGATTCGTTGACTTCGACGCCGACAAGAAGTACCAAATGGCAGACTGGCGTATTCGGTAAGACTGCTCGAGTGTCTCGCTTGAATCCCCCCTCTTCTAACACACGAACAGACCACTGCCGGAAGAGATGTTCTACTACGCACGCTCCGATACACACTATCTGCTCTACATTTTTGACAGGATCCGCAACGAGCTCCTGGATGCGTCAGATCGCAGCAAGCCCGAAACCGACATTATCCAGCAGGTGCTGCAGAAGTCCAAGGAGCTCTCTCTGAGCCGCTACGAAGGCCTCGACTTTGACCCCGAGACCGGCCACGGCTCCAGGGGCTGGTACGGCGTCCTGCTGAAGAACCCCATGCCCCTCTCCGGCAAGCAGTTCGCGGCATACCGCGCCATCTGGAAGTGGCGAGACGACACGGCGCGCCGCCTCGACGAAAGCACCGGCTACGTGCTCCCGAACGCCGCCATTGCCGAGATCGCCCGCCACATGCCTCCGGACGCCAAGGCGCTGCACAGCCTGATTCACAGCAACTCGATCATTGCCAAGAGGAACGTCGGCGAGATCTGGGCGGCGTTCAAGAAGGGACGCGACGAGGGCGACGACAGCCAGAGCCTGCTTCGATTCTTCCAGAACGACACCAGCTCCTCGACAACGACGAGGCGAGCGACCCAGAAGTTGAGCGAGCGGGCGGCGGACGTCCCTGATGATGTTCAGTCTGGCAAGCTCAGCCGGTCACAGCTGTTCGGCGACGTCCCGATCAGCTCCAAGTGGGAGGCCTCTCTGACGAGCAGGCCTCAGGGGTACGTGCTGCTGCCGTGGCAGAGGATCATGCAGGAAGCGGGACACAAGGCTCTGTCAACATCCGAAGACGTGGAGATGGCCGACAAGCAACCCGAATCTGCAGCGCCAGCTGCTCCGGCGCAGGAGGAGCCCGACCGGGAGTTCACGCTGAGGAGTGGGCTGAAACGCAAGCAGGTCGAAGAGGAGGAGGAGGAGAGTGGTTCCAGCTCTGAAGACGAGGACGAGGACGAGGACGAGGACGACAAGGATTCGTCCGATGTGGAAGAGGCTATCGAAATCGAGGACGAGGAAGCCAAGCTCGAACGCGAAAGGAAGGAACGCAAGACGGCCAAGTTACAGCGCAAAGCAGCCAAGCGGGCTGCGAAGAAGGCACAGGCCGAGGCGAGCGAGGCCGAGCTGGAGGAGAGCAGCGACGCCAAGACGGGCCGCAAGTCGGCCTCGGCCTCGGAGCCGGACTTTGAGGGCGCCGACAAGGCGGAGAAGAAGCGGAAGAAGCTCGAGAAGGCCGAGCGCAAGGCGGCCAAGGAGGCGAAGAAGCAGGCCAAGGCGGCACGCAAGGCGGAGGAGGAGGCGGCCAAGGCGGCGGCCGGCGCGCCCGAGGCGTTTGACTACAGCAACGCGAGCTCGGTACTACATGCGGGGCGCAACGCTGGCGGAGGCGTGCAGAAGGAGAGGTTCGACCCGTACTCGAAGACGGGCGAGGATGGGCCCAAGGGGGCTCGGAAGGCGCCGCCTCTACATGGAAACAGGAGTGCGACGTTCAGGAAGTAAGGATTGTCAGCGGTCCACCGCCATCGCCTGAAATCATGCCAGAGCTGGGGTTCGCACCGTAGTCGGAGGTTGGATGAAATGAACAGCGGCTTTTATCGGCTCAACAAGATGTCGATTCATGAGGTTTCAATGATGATCTGTTTGAGTGAATAGTAATCCACCCCGAGGATCCACAAGTCTTGTCAAAAAAGCTCAAACGACGCCCTTATTTTGATATGATAGTACGGCAGACCACAAGTCGAATTTCGACGAGTTCCTCGACTTCTGATAATTGATGGCCGAGCTGACGACAGAAGACTTAGACAGCTAGCGAGCCAATGTCTCGAGAAAGGGACACTTGGCCCCTATTGTATCGATTGGAATATGCGTGTACGTCGGGGTTCGGTCAAATCACGGTTACTTATGATCACTCCATAGCTGTCGAGCAAGGAAGTTTCATGTGGTGGAGTGTATGATACCCAGGCAGGAAGGGCAGCGAATTGCAAGGCTATTTTACAAGGATCAAATAAAGCGAACATGGTTTGGCAAGTCATGTAGGCTCGAGAAACACTATCAGCCATTCGCTTGACCCATAGTCACAGTGGCAATGCGGGTGTAGTGACGGACATGTTTTGACTTGCTCCAGCACCACCAAACAAGACCTGAAGCCATTGTACACTATTTGACAGTTTACTGTCACAAAGGCAACCAATTTTCAACGCAGAATCTGGGAATATACTAGTTTGTACATTGGGTGTGTCGCTATCAAAAATATGTACGCAGTGCGGCGCGGGCACTGATGCGAAAGTGCCACCGCTCACCGCAAGAAGATTATGCAGGGAGTCCAGCTCTTGTCTTTGGGAAAGGAGCGGAGCATGATGGGATTTTAGGACCGCGTGCAGCAATTGTACTAGAATCGTTAGTGTTAGCGAGCAGAATTCGTCGAGACTGTGAGGCATGCGACAAGAGGCCTCGTCGCTGATTAGGGACGTCATGGGTACACACCTGGTACTCGCAGATTCCAATCACATAACAGCGATTCTGGATGAATTGCCAGTTTGTTCGTTGGCCTGGAGGACACCTGCTGGTCAGGCGAGACTCGTCGCATTTTCCATTGGTGGTCTCCGAGAGGCACTTGATCTCAGTCTTGGTCATGGCGCCTCTGCACTGCGCCAGGGCCGGCGTGGCCACGGCAAGGGTGAGGAGGAAGGCAAGAGTCGACTGCAGATGCATGTTGGCTGATTGGATATCTACACTATCGAAAGGGAGAGCCGGAGATGAGTGTAGAACGACAGGTGTAGATGTCCTGGAGGCAAGGAGAACGGCATCCATAGGGAAGCAGACGCCTCTTTATAAAGGATGTCTATGCGAAACCGAGCGTGCGCCCTACGATTTCTTACTTTGCCCCAATACTCCTCGTTTGGGGACTTCGATTCAGTAGCACTATAGGTGAGATTGCGAGGATGAGCTGTGAAGTCCGCTCGCTGCCTCGCGTAACGAGGGGGCCGTCTTACTCGTGAACCTCATTCAGTTCCACCAGTCAACACCTCCGAAAACCTCTCAATAGTCAGAGCTACGAAAGCATTGTATGTGCCCCCGTCCGCCGGCACGACTCAGTAGGTGGTCGCAGCGCTGGGCGCAGCGCAATTCATGCCAGGCAATTGGTTGCTGGTAGGGCACGCGAGACGAGTCTCAGATTGCCCAGACACTCAGCCAAAGCCGCTAGGTGTTCACACATTGTCGGCTCAACAAAGCGAAGCGGAACTCGCAACATCATCCGAAAACGCCAGAAAGCGACTTACACGGACCATGCCCCGTTGCACGATCCGAGGTCATCACGTGCCACTCTTTGTGCCTTGTTCAATTCTATTTCGGGTTCCGGTGAGGACTTGCTACCTGCGTATTTGCTAAAGGATACCGTGGCCTCATCCGATGCACTTTCACGTCTCGTCCAGAATCATTAGAAGCAGGTGTATCATTGATGGTCGGAAGGATAAGATCTAATTCTCCGCCGTCTGGCTTCGGTGGCAAGGATCACGGGGCAGGATGGCCCAGAGAACGAAGATGCCCAAAAGCTGACACTTCGCGACATTTCTTGTGGCTGCATCGTTATTGAACAATGACAAAACCAGACTTCAGCAACCGGGTAATACAAAAAATGACAAACACCACGGGTAAGGCAACGTGGGAACGTCCACTGAAGATTCTTGACGCATTGCGGCTTGTAGCCTCCCGTATTGCCATGTGGGCCTTTAAGGTTATTCCTCCGTGGCAGATGCAGACGCCCCCCCGCGCCGATGTTGTCCCTGGATCGCAAGAGCCGAAGCCGGTCGGTCCGGAATCGGGGAGCAGCTCTCAGTTGAAGGTTGGAACATATCAGAATAAATATACGTGCGCGCCGATATTGACAAAAACATCTCATGACAGTGCCTGTAGCAATTATTCCAGAGTTGATTGAATCAGAAGTAACTCATCATGGCGAACCAGGCAGAGGTTATCCATCCCAAGAAGCTCCCGGGCGACACGCATCATGTCATCGTCAAGCTTGAGGCGATACATGTTGATGCCCCCGAGATTGATTCGTCGCCCTACACACACGAATCTATAGTGTACGATTACACACCGGCGACAGCGCACGAGCTCATCGCAGCAAGGCTCCACGAGGCAAGCATCTTTATCACGACAATGGTGCCTGTCAACGCCCAAACTCTCGGAGAGGCCCCTCACCTGTAAGTGCCTTCACTGGGATCACTGAACTAGCCCCTGCCTGTGACAGTTGGATTTGTCTCACGTGGTATAGGAAATGCATTATCACAGAAACAACCGGCACGAACCACATTGACCTTGACGAATGCCGCCGCCGCGGCGTGACTGTCTTCTACTCACCAGATGCCACATTGGAGGCCGTCTCTGAGCACGCTCTGGCCATGGTCAGCTACTTCCCACCTACAGCTTCATGCCTCGTTTGCCAGACATGGCATGGAAAGGATCAAGGCAGCTAATCGATGCAGTACTTTACCCTCCGCCGTCGTCTGCTTGTCCTCACCAACGCCATGTCGACCTACACGCCAACGACCCCGAACACATGGAAGACCAGCGGCACCATGTCCGGCCTCCTCCGCGACTCTGAGGGTCGCCCGCCACACACCTGCCAAACCGAGACTGTCGGTGTCCTCGGCTACGGGCCCATCGGTAGGTTTCCCTTGTAATTGTGGTGTTTCTTGCATTTGGGCCGAATGTGTTGCCTCGAGCGCGATTTCACCCACCATCTTGCCATCATACCAGGGACCGCTGACAACAGTCAGGTCGCCGCATCGAGACTCTCTGCAAAGCCCTCGGCATGCCGACTCTCGTCGCTGCTCGGAAAAACCAAGCTCTGCCTGTCCCGGCGGGCCGGACCCCATTTGCCGACGTCCTCCGCACCGCGACAGTCATATTCGTCGTCGTTCCGCACACACCGGAAACGGTGAATTTCATCGCGACGGAGGAAATTGCAACGATGCGGCCTGACGCCGTTCTCATCAATGTCGGTCGCGGCGGCACGATCGATGAGGCAGCACTCCTGGCGGCTGTGCGTGAGAGGCGGCTGTATGGTGTCGCGACGGACGTTTTTGCCACGGAACCTGCGGGCTCAGGAGCTGACAGCGTGCTGCTCGGAAAAGAGATTCAGGAGGACGGGCTCAACGTTGTGCTAAGTCCGCATCTTGCCTGGTGCGCAGACACGACGAGGCTGAATGTGAGGAGAGTTGTTGGAGAGAACCTCAAGACGTATCTCACAGGGGGAGATAAGAATCTCGTCTTGGAGGGAAGGAACTAGAGCAAAACGATTATACAGGGTTCGGTGCAGCAATAGAACCCAGCAGTCATTAGACACTGACCCAGGCATGTCCGCTTCATCGCGGTTTTCGATGATGTTTTGATGATGTTTTGATGCTACCTAGCCATCACGGGCAGAGTATGGACACATAGCTGGTCGGTATATGAGGTGCCGTGGACTGCCATGTGATGAGACAAAGCATATTCGACGTGGCTCAGTCTGTAGTTAAAGGTTGAAGATCAAGCAGCGATGTTGACGCCAGTAAGTAGCGGCTAGTTCGATCCAACGACGAAATATCATGAGGAATGATTGGCGATCTAGGTGCGAACAGGCAGATACTCCTCCGTCAAGCAGCATGGCCGAATAGCATGACATCTCATGCCACCGGCCTGACCTTATCTCACTTGAAAGCGAGGATTAGAGCCTTAGCCCCCGTTGCATGATGAGGACGCGAGAGATTGGGAGACGAGCCTCACGAGTATTGCAGGTATTCAAGGCTGGTTGATGAAGCATTCGTTGTTCCGGCTGGTGATAGCCACCACAAGTTCGAGCATTTCTGCCAGTTGGATGCTGTGGCAGCCATCCTGTCCTCTGCCAGAGACTTGAAATCATTCAAGTCCAGCTTGACGACATCAGGGGGTGTCGCCCGGGTTGCCGAGCATGTCTTAGTGCTGAGTGGGAACTCAGGGGCCAGCAACAGATTTCTGCTTCGTGGCCTTAAAGAGATATATATCCAGACCAGGTGAAGACAGCCATGCTGATTGATGATGGATGGTCTCATCGGGACACAGCCGTGGTAACCACCGACAGGCGTGTTCAAGGAAGTGAGCTAGCATGATAGACTCTATATCGTCGTAGCAGAAACGTGGTGGGGAGATTTGTAAATTGGCCGCTATGTTGTGTGACTGGGATGCAGTAAGTGATGCGTTTCTATAGCCCCTTTCGGTCTTTCATATCTGCTACAACCGAAGGTACCTATCAAGGCAACAAACGCAGAAAACGGGATGATTTGGTGAGCAGACGTCCTTTGGAGCTTTCCTACAAGCAAGCACCACCGACTCTCTGATTGTAGAAAGCACGATGCACTGGGTCCTTGTCTGATTTCACCTTACCTAAAGTACCTTACCTAAGGTAAAGTAAATAGGTGCCTTAGACGCCTTGCTACAAAGAAACACGGAACAAGAATAGGATGAAGACCAACATCACCAAAAGCTTTGGCATTCAACAATAGCATTTTGAGACCTTGCATTCGCGTCTAGCCACCACCTGTGCTGAAATCGAAGATCGTATTCCAGAGGCGCAATTCCCGGTCTTACCCGCCGGGTCGGTGGACCCGAAAGTGGCCGTCATGTCCAATCCCTGGGAGTCAAGGTTGCATCAATCTACCAGCCAAGGGCCTCAGGCATCTGCAGGAACCGTCGCCAATCTTTCCTTTCTTCCATTTTCCTTCTTCCGTCGAAACACCAAGACCCCCTTTCGACAGCTGAACAGGCTTGGCCAGCTGGCTGGTGCGAGCTGGCAGCCCGTGGGGGGTTCACTGTCAACCTCGACCTGACAGCATGAGAGTCACGTCATCAGGCCTTGGGCGGTTTCCGGATTGCGGCCTCGCGTCAGACAAGCTCGAGACGGCCACAACTATAACTTGTCGTCGAATAGTCTTCGCTCGTCGATCAACCGGTGTGCACACCTAACAGCCTCGAGTTGTCGAGCAACTGGGTTGCATCTGCGTCTCTGGCCAGATCACATCGACAAGGGCGATATCGGAGCGCTTCAGGGTGATGAGCGTACCGTCATTCACGGTACGGAACAAGAAACGCGAGCTGCGTCATTTTACAATAAGGTAAGGTGCTCTGACACGGTTGTGTCAGCCAGCCGCAGAGCCTCAGGCACCTCAATTCTTTCCTGATCGAGGTGACAGATCTGTTGGCCTGGCTTGGAAAACTCTGCGTCCCCCCGAGACAAGCTCGGACGAGTCAGGACCCGCACCCAATCTCCTCATGTTCCCGCCAGCTGTTTTCCCGTTTCGCTCGTCGCTCATCTCCTACGGCCACTCTCAGACCTCGGAGGATCGGCCCAAAGGGAAGCCCCCGAGGTCCCGCGCACTCATTGGCGGAACACCCGTGCTGCCCAGCTGGGTGAGCGAGCCAAGCCGAGCCAGCCAGGTTGTTGCTCAGTCATTCAGTGAACCAGCCGCGCCCAGCAGCGCGGTGCAGGTAAGGATGCACTGCACTGCGTTGCAGCGTCGGCAGAGATTTCGGCGACCGGCCGGGATCTAACGTAGCGACATGCCAGGGGCAATCCATGAGCTCATCCAGGCGTCGGCTGGCTGACGCCATGTCCGAGGTACTGACGATGAAAATTTGTTTTCGAACCGACCACCTTCGCCATTGCAACAAAGACTGTCGAAGTCGAAGACGAAGAGACGAGCTCTCAGGAACCGAACCTCTCCTTTCCAAAGGACCTTCGAACGGCGTCTCGTCGTCCCCCTTTTATCCCTCACGGCTTCCAGCTCGAAAATGGCGGTCCCACTCGTCTGGTTCGGCTCTCGCAGGGATGAGGCAGGGGAGGGCCCACCCACGTGTGAGCGTCACTTTTGCATCTGCTCTTCGGATTGGGTTTTGCGCCTCATAGTGGGGGCTGCCTGAGGATCGCTGTGGGGGTCAACATCTGATGCCTTCTTTTTTGACGCAACTTCGAACCGTTAGGGACTGCGCTGGTCTCCTGATGCAATGAAGCCCGGGCAACTAGCAAGGACTTCGTGATGCCATCCGAAGGGAAAGCCTACGTCTCTGGCAAAGTTGCTGTTGAATTAAATCTGGGAGAAGCCCAGTGTCGCACGCACAGCCTTGGGTACAAGCTGGTGGGCAAGTGCATTAAATTTCTTATCTGGCAACTTGGGCCATAAGAAAAACTTGCGCGAGTCCAAATCCGCCAACCCACTTGCATGATTCGTGTCAACCAGCCAAGCGTTCCAGTGAACCTCAGGCTCTGAATTCTGTGTACCACCGAACCTCAGGCTTCCAAGGCTTCCCTCTGAGATGACGCCGTCCCGATATTGCCCGAGTCAGCGAGCGAACACCATCTGAGCCAATTCAACGAGGGAAACGGATGGCCCCATATCATGTCTCGTCTGTGGATTCCATGGCCTCGCTCATTGCGGTCCACCCACCGCCCGGCATGGAAAAACGTCTGCCTCAGTCCGCTCAACAGACACTGATCCTTGGGCGAGCAGGGCCCTGATTGATCCGACCGGCCTATGATGTTTCGCCCTGGGCCACCTTCCCGCGGTCCGGCCACCCCCCTGCCCTATCGCTCTACCGAGCTTCGAGCTTTTCCTCCCTCCCCGATCATTTTTCTCTTCTTCTCTTCCACCCTACCTCACCTCCAATCCAGACCTTGAGCTTTATCTCTCCTTCTCTTTCTCCTTCCAATTCAGCAAGCCTCTCCTCTCCATCCCGTCTATTCCACATCACTCCTCCCCATCAGACAAAATGGCCTCCACTCGTGTCCTCGCCTCCCGCCTGGCTTCGTCCATGGCTACCAAGGCCGCTCGCCCTGCCGTCCGCGCCGCCCCCATGGCCGCCTCCAAGCGCACCATCACCGGTGAGTGAAAATCTTTGAGGATGAGAATCTTCGGTCCCAATTGGGACTGCAGACGCTCTGAGAGCAGCGTTACTGACGGCAGTCTCCTCCAGGCTTCTCCAGCGCCCGCCCCCAGGTCACCCTCAAGGCCAACGCCAGCCGCATGTTCCAGAACGCCCAGGCCAAGCGTGCCTACTCCTCTGAGATCGCTCAGGCCATGGTCGAGGTCTCCAAGAACATCGGCATGGGTTCCGCCGCCATCGGTCTGACTGGTGCCGGTATCGGTATCGGTCTCGTCTTCGCTGCCCTCCTCAACAGCGTTGCCCGCAACCCTGCTCTCCGTGGCCAGCTCTTCTCCTACGCCATTCTGGGTTTCGCCTTCGTCGAGGCCATTGGTCTTTTCGACCTCATGGTTGCCCTCATGGCCAAGTTCGTACGTTTTGTCCGCCAGTCCCCCATGACACCTGAACAGCCGTCTAACCAGGCTCGCAGACCTAAGCGTTTCGCACACCGATATGAGCGAGGTGGTGGCAATGTCGTGAAGTCAGATCGCTTCCGGCAGGCCGCACTGTGCCCGAATCGTCCACCGCCCTGGATCGGACGTCCCACAGCGCTGCTGTTCCCCGCATAGCGACACATAGAGTAATAGACGGGATAGACAACCGGAGGGTACGACACTTTTCTTTAGGAGAGGATGGTGGAGGGTCATCGCTGAGATGACAAGAGGTCTTTCCTGGGCCTTGTTGTATAGATGGATGACTACTGAGGAAAAACGTGGGAGGGTGAAAGCTTTCTTTCCCGCCTCCCTCAAACCAAATCCCTTTGCCCCGAGCGAGAGTTCGGGGGAAACCTCTTTTGTAAAAATAACAAAAAATTCATCCCCTACGTTTTTGGCTCTCAAAGCTTGCTTGTTTCACTTGAAATGCTTCCCCAGATATTGAATTCATGTCCAATCGGCAAGTTATCCACTCTTGAACCGAATCTGAGAAGCTCAGGCAGAAAGCTCTCAATTGACCTGTGTGATTGGCAATCTGTTCAGACGGGAAGGGGGCGGGAAAAAGAGACGAGGGAGAGGAGGAAGATGCGGAGAGTGTGAGGGCGCTTGTGAGTGGGCGGTCTAACCAGTCTCGCTGGCGCGCATCGTGGCCACAGTCGCTCTCTCCCTGATCATCGTGGGCACGGGACGACTGTGACGGGCACACTCTGGGGTCAGTCAGTCCAGGGAGCAGGGGGGGTAAACAGGCTCAGCACCCAAGTTTGCCCCCCTCCTGTCTACTTCCTTGGAACCGATTGTCGCTGCGTAGCCTCCGCCCCCCGAGCTCCTCCCTCGGCCAACTCGGCGGAGAGAAGGAGAGAGCGCGAGCGGCGTCGATTCAACGTGCTCTGCCAATTCGCGCACTTGCCGCGCCTGTGGCATGCCGGCAGTGGATGGCTGGGTGGCAGCAGAGGAACAGTCAGCCATCCTCTCTCATGCGGTGCGACTGTTGCTCCCTCTTTCGCAATGGTACGAGTTCGTGCCAATGGCTGCTGTGTAGCACTTGCCCGACCATCCAACGGAAGCCTGCACATATCTCCTTCGTCTTCCTCTGCCCCCCCCCCTCGTTTGCTTCATTCCACTGCGTACTCCATCGTCTTTGTGTGTCTTCATCCATCCGGGGAACCCGTCCGCTCCCTTGCCCTTGACCAGGAGGACCCTCGTAGTGACAAGCAGAAAGGGCGAAGGGGGCGCGAGCGTGGGGACGCCCCATTGCGCGCGCCCCCGTTTTCTCTCGCTTTCAACCTCGCTCAGTGGACTCGCGGGCTTATCACCAGGACCTGGGGGATCCATTGCGAACCCACGCGTTGCGGGTCGGGCGGGCGGGATCCACCGGTGGCATCATGACTCTGCCGTTTTTGGTTGCTTGTTCCGTTTTTCCTTCCTGCTACCGTTTTGGCGTGCGATGTCGGGGGTGTGTGTGGTGATTTCGCCGGCTGGCAGTGTCATGGGAGAAAAATCGAGCCTCGTTCGTGAGGGTTTGATGGCATGTCGTTGAAAGGCTTGGTATAGAGGGGGGAAAGGGGAGAGAGATTTAGCCGTGCAGTGTAGGGATGGGAGTTGGAGACTGTTCCCCTCACGCGCATGGCCCTGATTGAACCTGTCTGTCGGGTTGGGGCTGGTGAGCAGGATTCGGGAGACGGCTGTTTATCCGGTGTGGCTTTGCTGTCGGTCAGTCGGTGAGTGTCACGTGCTCTCTTTACCCAACATCGTTTGCGTGGCCAGAGGGGTATAATTTCATGCCAATGTGCTCTACGACGGGGTTTTTGTTGCGGAAAAATATGCAACGAGTCCGTAAGAGCATCTGTCATCCGGATGCCAATTCTCACCTTGACCGGTCCCGAAAGGCCGAACTGTGGCAACCCCTCACCATGTACACCATGCGCTCAGCGCAAGTCTCAACACTGACAAACCGACAGCAAAAGACAAAAGCTGATCTTTCACATCCAAGGGCCACTTTCTACTGCCTCGTACTGGAATCGAACCAGTGATCTCATCATTACTAGTGATGCGCTTTACCACTAAGCCAACGAGGCCAAGCAAGTGAGCAGCAGACCCAGACGTGGGAGAGCAGGATGCCTCGTACTGGAATCGAACCAGTGATCTCATCATTACTAGTGATGCGCTTTACCACTAAGCCAACGAGGCGCGTTTGCTTGACGTTATGACTAAGCAAGCCTGCAAGCATTATGTCGGGGTGGTGTGTTGGAAGACGGAGGGAATAGGTCCGCAGCGGACGGCGTTAGTATCGTGAGTTTTTTGCGTGGGACGTAGGGTGCTGTTGTGAGAAAGAGGGGTCAGGGGTTTAACGCAGTAGTGGTGGGGTCTGTGTGGTGGGACTTTTGGCTTGGTTTGGCCATATATCTGATATTTGGCGCGCAAACGAAGTGCGTGAGCATAATCAATTGGGTAGTAGAGGATATGTTGGGAATTAGGCGTATCTCGTTGAAGAATATGTTCCCGAGCATGTCGTGGGAATTGAGGTGCATGTGTGCAAAACGTCGAAATCTGCCTGACTTACTATGCACCTGAGCTGATTGACATACATTATGCAACCTCACTACCGGTGAGTTCGGTACGGTGACCATTTCGAGAGGTATACTTTCTCAGATCACCGGAACTCTGAGAAAGACCGAGATTGGTGCCGGTAGGAATATTGGAGGGAGATGAGGTGCACCAGCCCGCTGCCTCTAGATTCTGACCATCAAGCTTTGCAGATGTATTCCATATGCTACTCACTTCTTGATTTGGTTGGCAGCTCATAGTATGTCTCGCTGTGTAATGGCCTCAACTCTCGGGTCATGGCCTTTGCCAGATGCGTAATCCAAAATGGCCAGCATTATCACTCGTATTTCATAATGGGTGCAAAGGGTATGAAGGACTAGTGAGTTACTGACATAGGGCAACCGGTCCAAGTCACAATGACATCTCTGACCAAATATCTTGGTTAAACGATCACAAGACAATTTATGGTCCAAAGCGGTGTTGACCGAAACCTAGTGCAAGAGTCTATTCCAAAGGAGAATGAGAAGCAAAAAAGAATCCCGAAAGCAGTATTGCTGTACTCATACAAGAGTGGACTCATGAAGCGAGCCAGGAAAAGTCAATCACCAAAGAAGAGCCACTGGACTGACAAACAGCAAGTATACCAAAACAATTGTTCAATATTGTGACAGAGGCATGCATGGCACACCGCACTGGGGTATCTCATAAATCATGCAGGAACCTCCTCCGACTATACACTGCGCTCGTCACGCATATTCCTCCTCTTCAGGAGAGCCCTGCTTCACAGCGTAGCCCTCGACAAATCCATGCGGGTCACAGACCCTCTCCAGACTGATGCCATTTGCTGCGATCCAGCCCCGAACAGCCTCCTTGTCGAGCTTCACCCTGGGCACATCAGGCACGGGCTCCGGCTCTCCAGCATCACCGACGTCCTCCATAGCCCCGTCTCCATTGTCACTGGCAGCAGGGCGGGAAACCTCGGGCTTCTTCCCCGGCCCAACGCCAGCATCCTGCAGCAAGCCCATCTCCCTGAGGGTGATGAGGCAGTCGTCGAGCGCGATCCACGTCCCCCTGCTGCAGTCGCCCACGTCCACCAGCGTTTCCTCGCTGCTGTCAAATGCACCAGCGATGCCGCCGATGCCCAGGAGCCATCGCGCAATCTCGCCGCCCCAGAACCGACGATAGCCTTTCCTCCCGAGGTCGGAGATGGGCTTCTCCGGCCCACCGAGGACGCCCTCGCGGCGGCTGATCTCATAGGAGACGCCCATCAGCAGAGCGCCGAGGCCCTTGCGCTGCCATGGTGGGAAGACGAGGATGCAAGCGAGGTTGTTGTTATCCCACGACATCTTCTCCTTGGAGAAGAAGCCGACAATGTGCGGCCTCACGGGCTTCTCGTCGGACGTGTCGACAGCGGGCTGCGATGGATCGCCAGGCGGGCCCGTTGGCGGCCGAGCAGGTGGGGTGTAGACGAGCAGAAAGTAGGTAAACCCCGTGACGTCGAAGAAGACCGACTTGTTATCCAGGAAGAGCTTCGCGAACAGGGAGAGATTCTGACAGAACAGCTGCAGCACTGTTAGTCACGTCTTCATCCAAACCAGGGGACCAAGAAAAGATGGCGGAAACTCACGCCGTCTACCTCCCCGTCTACCTCCCACACGCTCCACTCACCCTGATCCTGCACAACCTCTTCGACGTGCCGTATGCCGGCGTTCGCCTTCTTCCCCGGCCCTCGCTTGACCTCCGGCACAGCCCGCAGCACCGTCCGGCGTCCCCGAGGGTGGACGTAGATCTTCCGCCCGGGCGGCGTCCCCGCGCTGCGCTCGCACACGTGCACGTGGCCCAGCCACGACACCAGCTCCTTGGAGTACTTGAAGCAGCACGGGCACACGTACAGCCGGTCGAGCATGGGCGCGTCGCCGCCGCGCCGGGCGTGCGCCTTGGCACCAGCCTCGCCCGCGTTATGCTGGCCATGTCCGTCCTTGCCGCCGTTTGAATGCTGCGCGTGGCTCGGCTTGCTGCTGGCGTGGCCGGAGGAGATGTCGCCGAGGAGCTCCTTGCCGTAGTAGGAAGGATACCACGTGCGGAAGCAGATGTCGCCGAGGACGACCTTGTCGATGTTGCGGTCTGTCCTCGGCGTCGGCATGGCCGTCTTCTTCTGGGCTTCTTGCTTCGTGGGGTGCTGGGGCAGAGCAGACGGCGTTCGTGGAGAGGTATGCGTGATGGCTGGAACGGGGATCGGCGTGTTGGTCGGTCTCGTCGGGTACTGATAGGGAGCGGGATCGCGCACCCGCGCCAGCTGCTGTTTGCTGTCCGGAACGCTGGGTTGGGGCTGGAGTGAGGGCGGCAGGCTCGTGGGTGGGCTGGGTCGCATCAGGGTTCTCGTCCATGGCTGTGACTGTGGTTGAGGTGCCTGGTAGGTGATTTGCGGCGCAACAAGGCCATTCGCTGGTCTGACATTCTCCTTTGCTTCCTTGACGGCGAGGGGTGGCTGATGGTTGATGGCCACCATGCTGGCACCCCTTTGCCTTGTAACGCGCGGTGCTTGTGTCGTTTGCTGCTGCGTTGGCCCAGGCTGGGTGCTCGGTGCGGAGGGTGGGACAGCTCGTGTAACCGTTTCGACCCCAGGGTTGATGGGAACAGGCACAGGAGTGTCTGTCGTGGTTTTCGGCTTTGGAGGTCTTCCTCGTCCTCGCTTCGTCTGCACAGGCGATTCAGCATCCGCGGGAGCTGGGATTGTGGCCGGTCGCGGCGGCGATGCGTGTGGTGGCGGCACTGGAGGGAGTATCGGAGTCTGACGCGTTGCGCGACGCGTCGTAGCTTCGGTGGTGGGGGGTGGGGGAGCTGTGATGGCAGGCGGGTCGATGGCTTCCGAGTCGTCGTGAGGTCGTTTGCGCTTGTGTGACTTGATCGGCATCGTGAAAAGGGTTCAATCGTGCAGCAGGACGGTTCTCCAAGAAGAAAAAGCAAAGCGGCGCCGGTGTGTGGCTCGCGGCGCAAAATCCTCGTACCGAGGCCCTGGGTGGTGAAGCTCCAGTGAAAAGATGTCGATTCGCTATGACTACCTATCGCGCGCGAGTGTAATCAATCAGCGCCGCGAGATGGGCGCAAGAAAGTTTTTCAGAGCGAAGTCGCATTGACACTAATTTTCAGATTCACTAAAAATGAGGAACAATGATCGCGGTTGACCCCATGCCTTCGCGTACCCGATTGAAGTGTTGATGGGTTCGACCATGTCTTGCTTGCCGTGCATTCCCCGTGCATTCCCCAGTGTTATCGATCAAATCGCTTAGTGTACTATTTTCGGCTTGAAGACTCCATTCACATCGTACTACTACATATACCTTTTTGGATACTGACTTCCTCCTCCTCTCACCGTCATCGTCGAACAGCCTGCAATCCTTTCTCTACCCTCCCTCGGTGTCCCAGCGAGACCTTCATTATGAAGTTCAGCAACCTTCGTCATGAAGTTCAGCGAAATGGCTGACCTTAACCGCTTGTTCAGTGTTCAGTCTGCGGCAGCATGTCAACCCCACGGAAGCCCCTGTGATCATAGGCATGACTTAACAGCACGTTCGTGATCACCACCCATTGCCTCACTACCTAATTCAGCGACCTGGGATCCGCCGCGTTAGCATTTGCGAAGGACCTCTGCACGAGATCCTGATTTTTCAGACCATAGCCTGCTTTGCTCACCACTGCCGTCTTGTCGATGCAGGAGCATACATACCCCTTTCGAATGTACCCAGCACGTCTTTCGGTCACTGTCACTTCCATCACCAAGAGCCAATACAGGGTTAAAAAAACCCTTCATACAATCAATGCACGACGACCGCTCATTTTTCTCTTCATCACACCGTTCAGCTATCTACGTGAATTGGTTTACGGTTTCCCCTCGGGAGACCAGTCGTACCAGCCCATGTCAACCTCGTCGATGATGCCCCACTGGTCGACAAACTGCTTCATCTTGTCATTCATGCCCTCGACCGACAGGATCTCATATACCGTCCTCCAGGCACTGTTGACAGCGCCGATGATCCACGCGTGGCCCGAGCTGAGCGCCTCGCCGCCAAAGTGCATGTGACCATTGGCGGCAGGCGTCATGAGCCAGGGCATGAGACTGCTGAACTCGCCGGGCCCAAAGATGGCAAACGCGCCGTTCGAATACGCTGAGCCGTACCAGTCGTAGACGTGAAAGTCGACGAACTCAGACTCGAGGAACTCGTACGTCACGCCGTTCAGCTCGGCCAGGTCCCGCAGCGTCACCTCGACCAGCGTCTTGATGCTCTCGGGTTGGTACGGCTCCTGGTTGGTCGGATTGTGCGGGTTGAGGTAGGATCCGAGGCGCGAGGCGTCCTGGCCCCAGGTGTAGCTGGCGATCATGGTGCCGGGCACCCCGGGCACATCGATGCCGTACGAGGGGTATACACAGCGCCGGATGGGGAGGTCGGTGAAGGACTGTCCGCCTTGGAAAGGGCCAGTCGCCAGCTTCTCCCACCTGAGTTTCGTCAGCTACGGAGTCGTTCCTCTTGGTTCCGCGCGCGAGCGCATCTTACCAGCGAGTCTTGAACTTGAGGCCAATCTTGGCAGCAGGATCATAACTACATCCATCGCGTCAGTAAAACTCGAACACATTCTCCAGGGTAGGGGGACGGCACGCACTTCAGGCTGCGAATAGCAGTGTTCTGGTAGTAACTCAGTTCCAGCTCCGTCATGTTGATGATCTGAAGAGCACCCAGCGGAGCCGTGGAGATGACATGAGCATAGTCATACTCGTCAGCGCCGTTGACGACCATCTTGAGCGTGCCGTCAGGCTTCTTCTTGACGTCCGTCACCCTATGGTTGAGGACGGGCTTGTTCTTGACAATGAGATTCATGGCCTTGGTAATCATATCCATGCCGCCGTTGATGAGAGTCCACTTGTTGATGTCGGCGCTTGTGAAGATCCACTCCTCCAGGACGGCCTGGGCCATGGAGTAGGTGTCATAGTGGCCGGTTGCGTCGTTCATCGTCTCCATCCAGTCAACTTCGCTGTTGGTGAACCCCTTGGCGAGAAGGAAATCCCTGACACTCATCGAGTCGTAACTCATTAGTTTGTTGAATCCCGTCGTAAAGTCGTCCGAGAGGGCGTTGACCATGGTTTGGACCTGGTCGGACCAGACCTCAGACGCCGAAAGAGCATCAAACGTGGTGTTGAACAAGGGGATATCATATCTCTCTGCCGACGCAGAGTTCGGCTCCTGGATGAGGGCCGTGACGCCGTTGAAACGACGAAACGTGTTGTTCGTCTGAAAGACGTAACTCTTCTGGACGACTTGATCCCGCTCGGAAACGCGAGCGTTCAGATATGGGATCAAACTCCAGGATTCGTTTCCAATGACGCGATCCATGTATGGCATGGGTGGAAAGCGCATCGCACCGACGTCCTGAAAGCCGTATTAGTGAGATCTCGGGATTCAACAGTAGCGAATCGGGCTCACATAGTAGTCATAGTACGCCGGGTCTTCTGGCGTGGACTTGTCCCAAGCCGCTTGGTCAAAGCGGTGGGTGAATATTCGACCTCCGACACGACCGGACGCTTCGTGGATGTCGTAGTCGATGTCCAGAGAGTCCAGGATCATGGCGGCGTACAAGCCAGCAACGCCACCGCCAATGATACCGACCTTGAAGGGCCCGTCCTTGGGCGACGGGCATCGACTGTGGTTGCTGTAGCCGGAGTCGCCCACGAGCTTCCGGAAGAAGGCCGCACGAGGGTTCCCGGCGGCCAGCTTCCCGTCATTGCATATGTCCTTGGGCGACTTGGTCGCCGTCTTGGACTCGTGGGCAGGCAGGGCAAGAGCATTGCCAAGCAGCAAAGCTGTAACGAGCGAACGAATGGTAAAGAGTGACATGGCTGCGAACAGCTGTAAAGAATGAATAGAGGTCAGTTGGTGTTAGTCGGATCAGGGTTGATTGGCGAAACAAAGCTCCCGAGGAGCTGCCATCATCAACTTTATAGACAACCTCGCACGCGTCGATTTTCAATGCTCATAGACAACACATGGGATGTTGGAAGCCGGCGTATCATGTTTTTTTGTCTCATTTTCCACGAGCTAGAGAAGCGTGTCCTGGGGAAATGTCTTGTGTCCACGAGACGGAGCTCGCTCCAGGCCCTTCAGCCCCTCAGGTCCATCCCTGGCAGCATTCCTCCACTTCACAACTAACACGTATTAAGTCCGCCCCTGAAGCCTTGTTCGCGTTAGAGTCCGAGCTAGATACTGACCGGGTAAGGCTGAATTGACCACGGTTCGCACCTCATGGGACAGACAAGTCCCGTGGGAATTTCCTCGCAGACCAATTCCCTTTCGCATTCTCCAAACCCAAACATGTCGAACGCCATCGAATTGGAATTCGTGAATACCATCTCCCTAACATTTTGAGCTCTCCCCTCCCCAGGCGATCTCAGATGGATGTGACACGTCTGTTGCAGGCCAACCAGCCCCGAGGACTTCGCAAGTCACGCAGACGCTGCTTTGAACCCGCCACTGGCTCAGTGCAGCCACTGCATTCTTGACGCAACGCGCTGCATGCCTTGTGCTACCGCTGTTCAACGTCTTCGTCCATTGCAGAATAACATTGGGCTTCACAGCAAAGCGCGGCGTAGGAACCGCAAGCAAGATTTTGTCTCGCGCATCTAATGTCTTGTAGTGGCCTGATTTTACCAAGACCATCAGCCTCGAAATATGATTAGCGCGCCAAGTTGCCTTCGATTCTGTCGTACCTTTTTACTCTGGCCCATTCTACAAGGTTGGGAGTGTACCTGGGAGGAGGTCAATGAGGCTGCACCAAACAAGGACTACAGCGAGAAGGAGCCAGACTTACAAATGGTGGAATCGTGAGAGTCTAGCACAGGGTAACCTTGAAGATCGCTACCGCTTATTCTTGGGGTATTGGAAGATGAAGGAGAACAACTCGATCAAAATGGTTGAAATTGCGTGCTCATGAAAGGAGTACAATCGAGGCCTCTCAAACATGAAACCACATTGCCGTAACTGAAATACGTGCTACACTTCAAAGCGCAACATGTTTTGCGAAGACCCAAGTCGAAGGTTGAAAGCCTCACGGTTCACAGATCAAGCTCTGCGCTTCTTGCAGCAGAACGGGCCTTGCGCCTTGATCACCCTCTCTAGCGTATCATCGCCCTCCTTCCAGTTCTTGATCAACGTCATGAGGCTCGCCGCGCAAGGCCCATGTCCCGATTTCTATAGACGGAGTCAATTTTCCTCACGTCAGTCCGGTCGTTAGTGAGCCATCTCCGCTCCTCACCCATGAATCTGCTGTAGGTCATGTCCTCGCCGTAGACAGACCGGACGTTTGCCTCCATGTGCTGCTGTAGTGCTTGATCGAGGGCTTTCTGCTCCTTCGTCGGCGCAGTGTAGGATGAAGCGTCGCGCATCTTACTGTCGCGCGATGGGACGAACCCCAGTTTCTTGATGTTTGGGTCCGGGAGGATGGAGATGGCAATGTAGGCAAGGAGAGAGCTTTGTAACGCTGCTGTGGTTATCTGGCCAAGACCCAGGGGAGTGATGGGGCAGTGACCAAGATTGAGGGAAGCCAGGGATGGGGTTGAGGTCAGAAGGCCAGTAATAGCTCGGATGGCGCCTTCATCAATGTAATTGTACGCCTGGCCTAGATCATGTGTCGCGTACGCTTGGCCGATGTCGAGGCAGCGGATGCCGGGGTGAGATGTTAGGGCTTCGCAAATTGTCTGAGCGCCCCGGGTGGTAAGGCCGGTAGACTGTAAGACCAGGCGTGAGACCTGGGGAGCGACTGCAAAGGCACTGGCAAGGGCTGCAGCGCCGTCGTCTCCGATGGGGTTGCTCGACAGGTATATCGATGTCAGGCGACAGTTGGGCGAGGCCAGGAACTTGGCGAGCGCCCGAGCCGCAGCCTCGGCGAAGCCAGTACCATTCATATATAAGTTCTCCAGAGGGAGCACCCGGTCTTTGTAGGCCGCCAGGTCAGTGAAAAGTTCGACGAAGCCAGCATCACCGATCTCAGTTTGGTCGAGATCCAACGTGCGTAGATTTCTTGTCTCGGTGATCAGCCGATAGACATCGTGGGCAGCAGCTCTGCCGAGAGGGTTGCGTTTGAGCCAAACGTTGGTGATAGCGTCAGACTTGATCATGGCGTCGACGAGAGTCTTGAAACTCGGGGCATCAATGCAGTTCCCCGCCAGGTACCAGGTGTCCATACGGCTAGGAAGTGCACTGATGAATGAGGCTATATGATGTGCGCCTACTGGGCCGATGATGTTATTGCCAAGGAGGAAGTGCCTGACGTGCTCATTGGCTCGCAGGCTGTTCATGAGGTCGCTGATATGATCAGGACCCACGACCTGTTTGCAAAGATCCATGCGACCATCCTCATACACAACGCCTCTCTGGAACTCGGCGCCCTGGACGTGATAGTAAGGCTCGCCGTTGCCATCGTCTAGCGCATGTCCAGTGGTTGAGGCGCCGAGCTCGTGTGTCCCGCCCTGTTCAAGATGGTGGAAGAATGGGGCCAGGTCATCAGCCTCGGCAACTTGCACCGGCATGGGGAGTGCCTGAGGTCCCTCGAGGGAGATGGGATGGCTGTCTTTATTCCAAGGGCCCTGTGCCAGGATGCGAGAAGCCCAGACCGGTGCAGGAACGCCCGGGTCAGCCTGGCCAGTCAGACCATGACGAGTGCGACCGTTCCTGACGGTTGCGACTATCATGTCGTATCTTCGCTGGAGCACTGCCCAGGCATGCAACTTTACGCGGTCAGCATCATAGCGGATGATGGACGAGAGAGAGCCAGCGTGGCAGGGGAAGAGAAGATCCGCGATGGAGCCTGCCAGCATGGCGCGGTTGGATTTTCGCCGTGGTAGGTCGTGGAGAATGTCATCGATCCGGACTTTCATCAGAGGGAGTTCGAGTATCTCATCAGGGGTATATGCGTGGGCGTGATCGAAAGCAGGCGAGGTAGCGTGGAGCAGGTTAAGATACTTGCGGCAGAGCGACGCCAGTATAAGGGCCTCGTTGAACTCTACTTCATCGACCCGATCATCCTTGTCCTTGTGTATACGTTTGGAGGTGCCCCGGGATGCAGGGAATGTCTGATATTGGCTGAGTAACGATGGAGGTGCCGGTTGGGACAGCTGGATATGTGTTGCAGCAGCCATGGTAGAGGATTGACACCGAGGCTCTGGCGGGAATGAAGGCAGGAGCTTGTATTATCGCAGGATGCACCAAGGATACAGCCGTTCAGTCAACGGTTGTGATGATGTTCTTTTATATAATCCAGTCTCGATGTTGCAGGGCTGAAAGATGGACGAAGAGAGGATGGCTAGCGCAGACGCAGTCTGTGCGACTCGAGTGGCTGTGATCTTCCACCACCTTCCCTGATCGAAGATGAGGCGCGCCTGCCTAGGGTGTGGGCACTAGGAGCACCAACCGCAAACCACAATTGAACAATCCCATGCAACTTGCGCCTGAGTCACATCCAGATTGACATTCATGTCAACCAAAGGGCGCAGGGTGCCAACAGGCCAAAATGTCGAGAGGAACCTGGCAAGTGGTCAGACCTACATGCGAGGGCGGGAGCCAAATGAAGCTTGACCGCCCCAACGTGTTCGGTGTGGTTGTTCATGGTGAGTGAGTGGGGCTGTTTCGCTGAAGGCTCGGTAACAGTACCCTCCACGACGACAAGCTTCCTTCGCGTTTGCGGGCTTCTATAAGGCGGATCTCGTTAGCTTGGCCATTTCAGCGAAATGTTGCGCTTCGTCATATCAATAATACCTTCGAGGCTAGCTTCTATGCTGCTCGCTACACGAAGATGATGGTCCTACAAGCCAAACCTCAAGTCCCCACCTGCTCGCTGTAAGGTAGGTAGGTAGGCAATTCAGATACTAGGTGATGAGAGCGGTGCGACACTGAGATATTGAGCGCCGATAATTTTCGCATATACATGTACTGCGTCATCAGAAACAAAACTCCGCCAAAGTCCGCAGAGGCTCCGTCCGCTCTAGCACCAACAAGGCAACATGGTTGTGAACAATGAGAACGATTATCAAGCAAAAGTCGGGTATGATTACTATACTCTACCAAACTTTCTGCTCGCGTTTTGGTCCGCTACCCAAGTGGGTGAAACCGCATGCTCTCTTGTTCATACTAACCTAATCCCGCATGACTTTCAGCGCAATTGAATATGTGAGGAATTGAGTTTCGCGGCCCTCTTACGCTTTTCAGATGCTGTGCAAAATGCCTGGCGTCATCGAGATTCTACCTCATTCGCCCACCTCCAATCTACCATGTCTGAGGTACTTGGACGAGGCATGATGGCGTAAAAGCCGACCCGCCTTCCTAGCTTCTCGTTGTATCGAAAGGCATCAATGGGCCACCGATCAGGCCTGCGGACATTACATGGTAGCGTAGCTGGAGACTTGGCGTCGAGGTCCGCAGCAGACATGATACTAATTATTCAGCATCCCAACGGCGGAGTGTATAAGTAGAACTGTAGAGTCTCACCACCGCCCGTATGCCACACAAGTCTTCTCTCAGAAAACGTAACTTCCGGAATACTCATCGAAAACACCCCCAAGCGAACCCATCACACGATGACTTCCGCTTTCCTCGTAGTTGGTGCCACGGGCAACACAGGTAAAGCCGTTGTTGCTACCCTGTCGGAACTCGTCAAGGCCAGTCCCACCTTCTCGAACCACAAGATTCTGGCCATTACAAGATCCGCAAGCGGCGCCGCAGCACAGAAACTCGCTGGTCTGCCTGGCGTCCAAGTTATCGAGTACAGCTGGGTGGACATCACGGCGGACTGGCTTCGACAGCACAATGTCGTGAGGGCCTTCATCGCAGCCCACAATGAGCCGACTCAGTTCGCCGAGGAGTCTACCTTCCACCTAGCCGCACTGAAAGGAGGCGTCGAGTACGTCGTGCGCATCTCGACGACGGCGGCGAACGTGCGTCCTGATTCCGAGGCCTACTACCCGAGGGCCCACTGGGCCATCGAGGCGATGCTCAGCTCGCCCGAGTTCAAGCGCCTGCAATGGACGTCACTTCAGCCAAACGTTTTCACGTCCTACTACCTGCAAACAGCGGCAACTCTCGTCAACGAGTTCCGCAAGACCGGAAAGCAAAGCCCTTTGAGGCTGATCGCGGCGGAAGACGCACCCGTCGGCATCGTTCATGCGGACGACGTCGGAGAGTTCGCCGCGCGGCTGCTCGTCGAGGAAGATGTGGCGCCGCACAACGGGGCCAAGTACGTCTTGAACGGTCCAGAGGACATCACTGGGCGGCAAATCGTGGCGCTCGTGGAGCAGGAGATTGGTACCAAGGTCGAAGAAGTCCACTACAAGGACATGTCGTTTATCGACTACCTCGTGGAACATAGCCCTGGGCCCAAAGCTCTTACTGAGTCGATAAAGCATGCTGGCGTCAAAGCTTGGGAAGGTGAATGTACGGCATCGACAACCAGTGAGGAGGTCCTCCGTCTGGCAGCACCGAAGACGGCGCCTGCGGCCTTTTTCAAGACCTTGTTGCAGTACTAGTATCGTCTAAATAAAAGGGTGTTCTCACTGTCGTGTTTCGGATGGTCGTGTGGTCCTGTGTAGCATTGTGATGCTCCTATGTTCATACTGACCATCGACATCGTCCAGGAGACCATTCCCAATAGGTGAGAATGCTGGCTGTCATGAGTAAAATGACAGCCAGAGCTATTCTGCCCGTGGATTTCCCTCGGGCCAGCTGGCACAGCATTCAAGGCAGATGCTGCGCGGAGACTGCCACGAGCATGACGGCGAACATGCAGAGCATGACGGCGAGCATGCAGAGCATGTAGAAGTCAACACGAATGGGCAAGCAACAGACGAGAGAATGAGCGGGGGAGGTAGGAAGGCACGACGTCACAAGGGGCTTGGGTTCCTGCCCGTGGACGCTGATCCAGGGTCCATCATGAGTCGTGTCTCCGCCAATCACACCATCTGATGTCACGACTCTGTCTCCACATCTTCGTGTGCCAAAGATGTAGACCCCTCATCGAACTCACTGCCCCCGCCATCGCCTACAGCCTGTGACACGAAACCGTCAACGTGCATTTCGGCGCTCCTCCGCCACTCCTTGCCCAGCATCAAGATCGTGTGATCGCCCACATGGTATAGCCCATACCGATATTGGTTTTACTCAGCTCAAGAGGTTATACCGTGTGTGGCAGGTCTGCAGCTTGCGACGTCACTACCGTGTTTGCCTCGACCACGAAGAGGACCACCATCGTCACCCCACGTCGCGTAACCACACCACTCCCACGTCGCCCTGCTGGACGCCTTCACCTACATATTAACCCACGGCAATTCCGCCACGTCGCAGGCGTTTTGCTTGACTTCTTACCCTCAAGATTCAGACTGTATTTTCTGTCGACGCAGGTCAGAGTAAACAATCCATATGTCAATATTGCCATTGCTCTGTGAAGACGATACTTCTTCTCCATAATCATCATGACGCCTGATGTGATTCAGCCCGTCGCTGCCGGGGGAGGACTGCCAATAGTAACCAAAATGCAGGACCCCAAGGAGAAGTTCTACCGCCATTTCCAGGTCGAAGTGACTTGTAAGCGATCCTTTCTGGAGCTTTGTAATTGTTCGTCTCAAATGATAACACAGTAAAGCCCTCCAAGATCAAATAGATCGCCTGTCTACCATTGCTGCTGTTGGTGGCGAAAGGAAGGATGCCGCCGATTCCATACTGGCTGCCATCTCTAGGTTGTCCAGTGAGGTTGCCGATGCCTCGGACTTCGTCCCCTCCTACGACCAACGGAACTATGCCCAAGCCATCAAGACCCTAACAGACAAGCTCAATGTGACAACCGCCAAGCTCGCACCCCGATCCAGGTTTCAATTCAAGTCCCGTATCCAGCCTTCAAGCGCCAAATCAGATCCTCGCGTGCTCTCCAACAGCAACGACACTGCCACCTCACAGGCTACCAGGACCCCCGCCGCGAGCACCGCCTCCGAGGTGCAAGACACGATTGCACCGTTGCCCCCAACGACTGTCCGGAATTACAATGATGAGATGGCACAGCCGTCGACTTCTCACATCCGCAAGCCTAGTTTCTCTACCGCTCGCGACATCGCCATCTACGGCCAAACCGACCTGCACATCCTGCTGCCCGCTACCGCCAGCCATGCCACCTCATCCGGCCGCCTGACCGACATTTCCGGTTGCGTTGTGGACATGTCGCGTGCCACGGGCAGCACCGCACCATTCGCAAACCTGGCACTCAAAAACATTGAACGGAGTCTCGTGCTAGCCGGTAACGTCGATGGGCCGGTGCATATCACAGGAATCCGCAACAGCATTCTCGTCGTGTCAGCACGGCAAGTACGAATTCACGAATGCCACAACGTGGATGTTTATTTCTACTGCGGGAGCAGACCCATCATTGAGGATTGCTCACACATGCGATTTGCCCCGCTCCCTAGGTCCTTTGTACGTGAAGACCTGACATGGCGGCAGGACCGTGCTGACTGGTCTAGGAATCACCCGGTGATGACTCGAAGAATCAGTGGGACCAAGTCGATGACTTCAAATGGTTGAAGGCTGAAGCCAGTCCGAATTGGAGTGTGCTTCCCGTGGACGAGAGGTTGGAGGAGAGGATTTGGTCGGACGTGGTACCAGGAGAACCAGGCAAGGGACTGAAGGATATTCTCCAGGCAGTCAAGATCGCCAGGGGTTGAGGGATTGTCGGGTATGGCTACATGGCATGCATATAAACTGCTTGGGGAGCGCTATGCATTGTGTGCTTACATGATCTGCATATCTATCCATGATTGAATAGCCTCTCACGTCGTCTTCTGAAGTCAGTATCCTCCAGTGTGGCACCGGTCGGTAGGGAACCGCCGGATTTCCTTGAACCCCCGACATGACATCCCTGCCAACCACCCGTAGGGGGCTAGGCAGCTCATGACCCCCACAAGGTACAATGAGCACGGCCATGGACGACATGGTAACTTACAGTACAAGAAAAGAACTATTGAATACCCAGGTGTCTGTTCGTGACCAACAGCCTCGTTCCGCGGCAACGCCTTCCAAGAGGGAGGCACCTAAGCATGCGTCCCACAGGATTTCACGACGCTTGAATACAGCATGACGCGAGCTAGAGCTACGGCACTGCTAGCAACGACTGGATGTACATGGAGAGTGTCCCAGGACTGCTCACTATACATACATGCCCATATCTTTTACCGGGCCATGCGTGCTGATGCGTGAGCATAGTCAGTAGCAGGAACCGGAGTCTTTCGCACACGCCATGACCCGTGTCGCGTAGTCCGCAGCAATAACCGGTACGCTATTGACATCCTGTCCCGAAAGATCCCGCCATGAGGCCCGACTACAAAGATCATGGAATCTGGGCACAGCGCACCAACTTCGATCCACTGGTGTTAAAGTCCTACAAGGGACATCATATACGTGATATCCATGACTTGATTATGTTGAAGATGTCGGTGACTGGCCCCCATTGCAACTCGCAGTCAACACAGAAACCAATCGGCGGATCGATAGCTTCCTTTTACGCACTGCCATTATACGTCCAGACTCTGCTCGAGGTGTTTTGAGCGGACAAGCTTCCAGGCCGGGCCGTCGCGCAGGCAGGGAGGAGCTCCATGCGATGTTACTCCATATTGGGTAAGGATCGGCGGCCTTAAACCTCCGGCTAGACCATCGTCGTGGCCATGGTTGGGGGACCAGAACGACTCTTTTGGTTTGGCTAGAGATCAGCTCGCTTATCCCGCGGCACCTCGCGTGGATGAATCTTTCCACAATAGTAGACAGGCCGGTATGTCTTCAGCTCAGCCATGAAGAAGCACCCCTGAACCGTGTCCTGCACGTAATGTAGAGGGAGTGCCAAGAGCTTGATCACGAAAGCCCACGAGCATCACCGGCCATGGGGAGGGGCCAGTAGATGATGGGATTTGAAGATTTCGACAAGGGGAAATCCAGAAATGCCATGCTCGGATCCTGGATTTCGTGTCCAACGTTTGTTTGACTGACCTGCATGTGGGTGAGATTCCCATCACCTCCACCGCCCCCTCCCTCACCCTCCAACCCTAACTCACATCACCGTCTTCGCCGAAGGCTTCAGCAGGGGGTGGTGAGGGGGTCAGGGGGCGATGACCGAAGAGCACGCCATGGGGTTGCAGTATTCTGAACGATACGATGCTCGAGATCTGGGCGAGCGACATCAAATCTTCGTTCCATCTCTGCAAGGGCAGCTGCACAAGATGGGCATCTTGGCTCATCCCGATACGCGCCAGAGACGCGCGAACTGGGGATCGGAGCCTGCTGATAGGTCTGTGGACGGTTGCGCGCGGTGGCGCGTGTAGGTCGTGCGGATCATACATTCGGGCGAGTCCATCCGGGGGACCAGGCCACCCAGACGCGCCGGGCTCCGGGATCCCAGCCACAGCTAGTGTGGCGTGGCGGAAAGGCTGGGCAAAACCCGAGGAGCCGTCGTCGTGGTGCAGGATCTACACAACTTCAAGCTCGGTGCAGAAACAGTCGCTTGGAAGTGTCGTTAGTGTGCCGGGCCTTGAGGTTGTACCAGCATCGCGTCGGCAGTGTGCCCAGCCTTGCTTCCTTTGCATTTGACGTGCGGGCCGGAATCTTCTAATCCTTTCTAGCAGGCTGATGTTGATGACGTTTCTACCTTTAAAAACTTGGCTGTGGAATTGGAATATGCCCACGGCCAAAATGACGATTATCAAGCCCCACTCCAGTTGTAGGTGTACCTGGCAGAGCGTTGGGAAACAGGAAATGATCAACTAGGGGTCCAAATAGCTTAGTTGATCCTGTACCAACGCCTTGTTTGTCTCCAAAGCGTGACTGTACACCCACATGTACACTTACTCTCGGATAAAGTGATGTTCCGTCGTAGCAGACTGCATCCCATTGTACGCAGTGAGTTCGAGCGGAAGAAATCCAGTTCCACTCGTTCGCTCTGAGCCAGCAAGGTGTGGAAGGACGACAGCCGAAACAGTGCTGGGCGAATGTCGATGTTGGCCAAAAGCCAGATTTTGAAGCACAGAAAGAGAGCCAGGGTTGGGTGACTAAAGGTGGGCCGGTATGGGTCTGGGCCTTTGACGTCTCCTTCGGAAGCTGGTAGGCGAATCAGAGGCCCTGGAACACTAGCACCCCCTCGGGCTTAGCTTACGCAAGGCTGTCGTGTCTTGACATTTAGCGCACCATCATTTTCGGGGTCCTTGGGGGCTTGATTGCAACAAGGCCTCGGTGTATCGGGCCCCCGTTGTAGGCAGGTAAGAAATCGAGAAGCAATCGAAGATGGTAGGTAGGTAATTGCGACCAGAGTACGATGCGCACTGCCTGCAGAGTTGTCTACATGTATCACAGTTCGCTTGTCTCAATATTTCGTGAGCATCGTGGGCCTGTCTATCGCTAGACATCTATGTGGTATGACGTCAAGCTCACGACATATAGCCCACACCTAGTGGACTTCCACCCCACAGGCGACCCTGAAGGGATCCGCCTCCCCGAGGAAGTACCAGACATGGCGTGGCGTTATCGACATGACCCCGATTTTCATTAGGCCACACCATCCCGCTCTCGATCTGTAGGAAAGACACCACCGGTCGCGATCGAACCGCCAGGGCCCCATCGCCTCCCCTCCCATTGAGTAACACGACCACATACGTTTGTGCTGCACGGGGCTCCAGGCTTCTGGCCACGCCGCCGTGCCCCAGTGCCGCCGTTCCTATGGGTGCACAAACCAAGATAGGTAGGCCAAGCAATAGGCACCTTCAGGAACTCGTCCCGATGAGTCTGGTGATCCGTCTCCCAGCATTCTCACGACCCACAGCCCATTTTCGCCTCCCGCTTCCTGGTCAAAAAAAGCTCTCTGCTCAATCCAATTTTCCACAGCAACTGCGAATTTGCCATCTTTGCCATCTAATGCTGGCCATTTGACGCGCAGTGCTAGCTGCATCAGAGGCTCTCGATACCACGAGCCTAGAGATACGAGCAGCAAGCAACAGCGAGCATCGCGATTGAGAGCGTGTCACACAACTCGCCTTACTGCAACAGGCACACTCGACGAGCCGTCGAAGCGACACTGGAGCTTCGCTTCTTGGCCCGCGGCAACTCAGCATTCCGACCGGCGTGCGACGACCAAAGCTCATTGCCCCCTCCATCTCGAACGAACAAAATTGGTCCATCGGCGAACAGATCGATCCATCATCTCGAAATCATCGCCCAAAGCTTTGCAGCTCATCTAGTGGTAGAGGAAAACAAAGAGGCCACTCATTGCCTTGGCGGCCACAGTGCAATCGATCCTCTGCCGCCGTTTCCGTGGCTGCCAATGCGCACTGGTACCTCGATCGATCCCCTCAGGCCGACCAACTACGCCAGGACGCGACCCGAAATTCAGCACCTTGTCGCAAAAAGGACAGGCCGCCACAGCTACGTTCAGCTTGATCGTCCCGAAAAAACGGTGCTTGCGATTCCTTCTGTACGTTGTTACTCTATCCTGGATTGTGCTCAGGTGTGAAGCTGGGGGAGGGGTGTCTGGCCAGAACCGGACGTCATATCCCTCCACCTCCGCCCATTGCATCGAGATCATGACACAGGCCAATCAGCGCATGCACTTGCCCTCACTCCCACCCTGAGCCTGTACTACCTTACCATGGGTGTGCGGCTTGTGGCCCTGCGTCTCGCCCACCCCCCTCCCCTTCTGCCATTCCATGATCCAGCAACTAATACTGCAGACCCTCCAGTTCGATCGCTTCACCCACCGTTCCCCCAACTACCCAACAACCCACGATCCTCAGCCCGACGACAACGACTCTCGACGCCTTGAACTCGGCACACGACGTTCGCGCCATCTCGACTTCACCACACAAGCCACGATAAACAACAAACACATTCACACCTATTAATTCGTCCCCGCACATTGGCTTCTTGGGGACGCACCATATCCATGGCCGACCCAACGGCTAAACCAAGCGATGCCCAGTCGTTGCCCGACAACGCCGCTGGGCAACCCATGCCACGCAGAACATCCCCCGACAAGTCCGTCACCTTGCAGCATCATCGCCTCGTCCGCGATGCGAGTCTACGAAACGCCGCCAGCATGAGATCAGCTCAATCAAGCCAAATACCTACAATATCGATCCACAAAGATGTCGACACGTCGCCAACAAGAGGTTCATCTGGGGAAAGCCAAGATACAACCCAAAGCGATGCCATGAGGTGGTTTGATCGTTCTAACGAGAACCCGACCGCTGCATACACCCAAGGCATGGATGGTATGACGGAATGTCCCGATTACGTCCCGAAGCCGTAACTGACTTGAGTTATAGTTGACCCTCCTTTTTATCAAAAAGAGAGCGACTCCTCCATCGAAGACGGCGGCAACAAGGCAACATACCCGTTCCATCTCAAGCCTGGCGCTTCCCATTCTCTGAGGCCGCCCGTAGCACGCAGCAGCAGCACCGGCGACTACCGCAGTGTCATTGATGATCTGACTGTCGAGATTCAAAAATTGAAGGATGAGTTAAAGAAGTACAAGCAGTCTGGCCCAGATCTCTTGAAGCGCGACAAATTGTTCGAGATCAAGGTTCACGGTCTGCCGAAGCGGAAGAAGAGGGAACTCGAGGCAACACTTCGCGACTTCGCCTCTGGACTCAGCGAATCTGCCAGTGCAGAGACTTCTTCCGCTCGCAAGAAGTCGTCCCGGAATCACGACAAGATGTACTCAGCGTCGGGCTCCATGTCCAAACACGCCTCATCTTCTTCCGGCTCAAATTGGAAGCACGCCGATTCGGCTTATGCCTCCGCATCAACGGGGCCGAACACATCAGGTACCTCTCTTACGCGCCCCTCAATGAGCTCGCGAGCCAGATCTTCGGAACAGAAGGTCGAAAGCTATCTGAAAGACATCCCGGAAGGCCTCTATCCGCGACACATGGTCATGACGGACAAGGAAAAGAAGAAGCTCGTCGTGCGACGACTCGAGCACCTTTTTACTGGGAAGATTACGGGACAAGCGTTCCGCGAAAATGGGGCGGTTCTCGCCGCCAAATCGTCCGAAGTCACCACTGGTCAAGGCTCAATGGTTCACCAACCACCCAGCCTGGCACATCCGGAGGCTTCCAGAGAAGCGCGCATCGCGGAGGAACCAAGCAAGAAAAGCCGATCCAGGGACAACGACTCGACAGAAAATTCCAACGGCGACCAGAACGAGGCGACAGGAAACGCAGCTGTTGCCAGGACTAGCAACAGCGTTTCGCCACCAGACGCAACACCAGCCGAACAACGTGCAACCCGGCCGCTGGATCTTGATCCCCACCGCAAACAGGTTCCGTCCGAAAATATGGACTACATCCGTCATCTCGGTCTCGTTCCGCCTGAACTACTTCCAGTCCACGAGGTGCAAGATGTGGCATCCGATGCCGACGGCTGGGTGTACCTTAACCTACTTTGCAGTCTGGCCCAGCTTCACATCGTTAACGTCACCCCCGATTTCATTCGGACGGCTGTGACGGAGAAGAGCACCAAATTCCAACTTTCTCACGACGGCCGCAAAATCCGATGGAGAGGTGGAAGTGACGGCACGCGATTCAGTAGCGACAGCTCAGGTGATGGCTCTCGACAGAGTCCATCCTTTGAGGATACTGATGGCTCCAACGAGGAAGAGCCGCGAAAGAAGTTGAAGAAGGTTCAAGTGGCGGGAGAAGTAGACCCATCTTTGGCGCATTCGAGCAGCAAACACAACCCAACACTCCTGGGCAAAACTTCTGTCTCGCCCGACAATTTCCACTACAAGCCCATGTTTGTCCACCAGTCGACATCTGGAGGTCAATCATCAATGGACGACACTAGCTCATCCGTCGGTCCGGTTGAAGACAGCAACTTGGACGACTCTCGGTGGGGAAACAGCGGGTCGGGAACGTCACTTCGCAAGAAGCGTCGCCGCGACGGTGCTATCATCTATTACAATGGAGCGCCATTCTGCACCGACTTGTCCGGTGACCCTGGAGACACTTCACCCACTTCCCACATGGCCTCGTCCGGGCAACAAAAGTCGAGTTCCGGACCCGAATTTGTCCGTCCTGATCCTCCTCAGCGCACGACGTCGGGGTCTGCTCTTCGTTTTCGGCCTCTGAGCGACAACATCAGGGCTGTTACTGTTGCGATAAGAGCTGAGCCAGAGGCAACAGTTCCGTATCTCACCACCGATGACTCTGACGACAGTGAAATGGAAGAGAGTTTTCTATGGTCCGACTCGCAGCAATTCCTCACAATTCAACAGCTCGAGCCTTCTGGCCTTGGCGGTGTCGTCCCTGAGGACCATTTCATGGTCGTTTGCGGCACCAAGAGGCCCAAGGCCAACACGTTGCCTGTTCAACGGGAAATGAGCGATACCTTCGCCAAGTATGTCGTGAATAGGATCTCTGCTCAGGTATCGGCCAATCCTTTGCAGAAAGCCGCACCGGCGCTTGTCAAGCCACCCCTGATGAGATCGACTATGTCTCCGGCCGCATCAAACGCTTCGCGCCTATGCCGCTGCCGCCTCCGAGCTGTTTCTTCCCACCCTTCAGCACAAATACCGAAAGCAGTTTCGACGACTCTAGTTCTTCCGGTATGGATGATGACCTGGAATACAGCAGGATCGCCGACGTCACACCAATGCACCATCAGGCATCGATCAACACGTACCCTGAGAATGAAGACATGACGAGCGGAGATGAAGAGGGTGGCGAGCCCGACAATGGCGACGAGCCCAGACCAACTCATCCCGGCCCAGACGTACCAGGGCTTATGCTTCACCAAGCACCGGTTCGGCGCTCGAGCAGCAGCGCCATCGCTGCTTGCCGGCACTGCCCGCGGCCGCAGCAAGAGCACTGACCTCCCCGATCCTGCCGACAGCTCCAACGCTACGGTCGACGCCGAGAGCGGCTACAAGAGTAGCAGCGAGTGCAGTTAATGTTGTTACAGACCTATTCTCCCGATCTTGTCCAACATGAGTCCAGGCTGGGGGAGATCAATGACCCAGCCTTTGCTCCCTTCCTTTTTGTCTGGCTATGTTGGGGCACGATGGATCACATTTGCATCTTTCGGGCGTTGATTCGGTTTTGATTTTATACATTGTTTCATGTTTTTTCTGGGAACGAAGCGAAGAGATATCCACCTTGATTTTCATCTGGTCAACTGGCTGGTTTGCGAAGCGTCTCGTCAAACCTACTCAACTCACACCGCCGCCCCCTTCTCTTCTTGTCTTGCATGGTGGGCGGGAAGTCGTGTTCACGGTTCGGAGGATGGATGGGTTGAGGGTTGCGGAAAAAGGATGGACCAGATCAAGGTCTTGGGCTTATCTAGAGGCTGCCAACTTGGCGTTTTGACCTTTGGTTTGTGCACCCCGAGAGCGAAGCGGTTGAAAGGGGAAAGATGAATTTTTGATAGCGTATCTTGTTGAGGATGAACAGAGAATGTTATGTCCCCGCTGCCTGACTTTGTCGCTCCTGAGATGTATGTAGTGCTCGTGCCATGTGGCGGAAGGGTTCAATCTGCGCGCCATAAATGCGACGCGATGCCTTCGTGCACGACGCCATGAAGCTTGTAAACATCACATTTTGAAAAAGACGGTAATAATGTTCTGGATTGCACGTGATCCTCATACTGGAGTCAACACTCGAGTTCATCATCCATACATCGTTTCTTTCTATCGTTATCAGGAGCTAGTTCTATGAGCTCCTCTGTAGACATCATCACCCAACCTACCATGCACTCGCCAACCCACGGCGCCTTTTTTTTTTTAGGTAAACTCCCACCGACCACACCCGCTTACTACCATAACGCCGTGCTTCTCGCAGCTCCTCAAAATTTCTCATTGATGATTCAGTTAGACTCAGCATGAGGCCTCTTCTTGCTGTCAGACTCGGACTTGGACTGGACGAGCAGGCTCTGGCCGGTCATCTCGTCAGGGATAGGCAGACCCATGGCCTGCAAGACCGTGGGCGCGACATCGCCGAGGACGGGCTCCCTGACCTTGCCGTCCTTGAGCTCGACACGATCGGTGAGGCTCCAGCCGTTGGGGGCGTTGGCCATGATGAACGGGACCTTGTTGGTTGTGTGGCTCGTCTTGGGCTTGCCGTCCTCAAACTTCATCTCCTCAGCGTTGCCGTGGTCAGAGGTGATGAAGAGAATGTAGCCGTGCGCCTTGCAGGCCTCGTAAATGGTCTTGATACCGTCGTCCGTGGCTTTGCAGGCAATGATGGCCTTCTCGTAGTTGCCTGTGTGGCCAACCATATCAGGGGGTGCGAAAGTTGTTCATGACGAACGGGTATTTTTCCGTCTTTTCCCGGGGTGTCTTTGTCAATCTGGTCTTTCGCCCGCGATGCGGTCGGCGACACGCTTGGCGACACCGGCGGCAGACATCTCGGGAGCCTCATCGTAGGTGGCGACAGACTTGACAGAGGGAACCAGGTCCCGCTCGTCCCGGACCTCAAGATCGAAGACCTTCTCAACACCGCCGTTGAAGAAGAAGGTGACGTGGGCGTACTTCTCAGTCTCCGCCACGTGCACCTGCTTGACCTTCTGCTTGCCGATCCACTCGGCCAGAACATTGCCCATGTGCTGAGGCTCAAAGGCAACGGTGAAAGGGTAGTCCGTCTTGTAGCGAGTCATGGTGACGAGAGGCTTGATGTTAGGGTAGGGGAAGTCAGGGAGGACGGATCGATCCACATTGCCCAGAACTTGAGTGATCTGGCGGACGCGATCAGAACGGTAGTTGAAGAAGAAGACAGTGTCATCATCTGTGGCAAAATTAGTGAGAGCGGTACGAAAAAGATTGTCAAGTTTGGCTGACCCTTGATGCGGGATTCCTGGCCACCGACAATGATGGGTGTCAGGAACTCATCCTTGTCCTTGGAGCCACCCTTGGCATAGCGATCCTTGATGGTTTGAACGGGGTCGGTGCTCTCCTCGCCCTCGCCGAGAATCATACCCTTCAGCGCAATCTCGATACGTTCCCAACGCTTATCACGGTCCATGGCGTAGTAGCGGCCAACAACGGTTGCGATTTCACCAATGCCAATTTCCTGCAACTGGCCAATGAGTTCTTCCATGTAGGCAGCACCGGACTTAGGGTCGGTATCACGGCCATCACCAAAGAAGTGAATGAAGACCTTGGGAACCTCGTACTGCTTGGCAGCCTTGAGAATGGCGTAAAGGTGGTCCTGCTTGGCGTGCTGAAAAAAGTTAGGGTCTGCTCAGAAGGATAAAACTTCACGAGGCTTCGCTTACCACGCCGCCGTGGGAGACAAGACCGCAGAGATGAAGACGGCCGTTGCCGTTCTTGGCACCCTCCATCAGATCCTTCAGGACTGCGTTGCTCGCAAATGTACCATCATCGATATTCGCATCGATACGAACGACGTCCTGCCAAACGACGCGGCCGGCGCCGATGTTGAGGTGGCCGACTTCGGAGTTGCCCATTAGACCCTTGGGGAGGCCAACAGCATTGGACGACGCCTCGAGCTCGACAAAGTGTTCCTTGTCCTGCGAGAAGGCATCCATAGTAGGGGTCTCGGCGGCAGCGATAGCATCGCCATCTTTGGGCGAACGGTCTGAAGGAATGCCCCAGCCATCAATCACGACTATAGCGAGCGAAGAATCCAGAGGGTCAGCCAGGCCAGCTCGAGCGAAATGAGCATGTAAGCAGCGGTCAGGATGTAATCGGGCCTGCGGAGAGCGGGCGGCAAGGACATGGTTCCGTGTTCCCCTGGGAGGGTGGGAAGACCAAGCGAAGGTGATTTGCAGTTGGAGCTTGGGTCATTCGCGGAATTTGGGTTGCGCTCGTCGCCTTCACCACCCTCACCAAATGCATCGCGGGGCTTCGACGGGGGAGACGGAGGGTTTGGAGGAAGAGGCTTGGACGTACTCAGACAAGCGGGCTGGACCTGGGCTTCGGCCATTGTGAAGTCGGAATCGCTTCTCGGGGGCTAGAGAAGGTCTATTCGAGAGAATTGGTAGAGGAACAGGATCGTAGGATGTGCGTGATTTTTTGGGGAGGGGGGGATGGTGTTGAGCTCAACGATTGAGAATCCAGAAGTAGAGACAAGATAGAGCGTTTTATCGACTGATAATGGATGGTGGGGGGGCCTCGATGTCATAGCTCCCCCCTCCTTGTCGTTTCGAGCTGCGTCTCGAGCTTCGTCGCACTGTCCATCCGTAGACGCTGGCCTGGTGATCTACAGTGCATGCACCCCCTGCACGGTGACCCTTGCTAGGCCAACGCGCCCCTCTGTTGACTTGAATCTGCTCTCCGACACCTTCTCCCGTCACCGAGGCAGGTGTGTTCCACCCACCCCTGCCCATCGGCCCTTCCCGCCTTTTTGACGACCTCCAATCGCTACTGCCACCCCGTGCGCTACTCCGTCTTTCCATCCAACAGTTGCGAAAACCAGCCTCAGTCAAAGGATTCCTACCGATCTTTCGAGCTGCTGAGGGACTGGCCACTGTTGGCATTGCGACCGCCCCCGCCATCTCTCGATCATCACCGCCGACATGGCTTCAACACCACACCCGCTCGCGCTCCCGCCAACCCTGTCTCCAGATGCTCTCGATACGCTCACCGAGCTCACGACAATCCTCACACGTCTTCGCGCCGCGGTCCACGCTTCCAACCCTTCCGCCAATGCAGGCGGCATCACGGGCGCCACGCCCTTGCCCACGGGGGCAACGCCCAACCCACTCGGTGCCAGTCCCGGCGGCACCAATGCAATGACGCTGCGAGAGCTCTCGACGCAGACCGATGCCCTGAAACACAAGCTGCAGCGCGCGAGGACACAGCTCAAGTCCCTGCCGGATATGGAGCGAGATATTGAGGAGCAGGAGGACGAGGTTCGCCAGGTCGAGGAGAAGATCAGGGTGCAACGCGAGGTGCTCGAGAGGTTACGGGAGCGTGGCGTGCAATTCGGCAAGGACGGCGAGAAGATGGAAACAGACTAAAGAGCGCAAGGCCGAAATCGACGTGCGAGCCGCGATAGAGGCTAACAGGTAACATGATACCCAGTTTCAAGTGTCGATGGCGGAAAGACTATGACCCAAAATGATTGCATTGGCAGTACATTCTCAAAACAGAAACTAACAAAACAAGCTCAACCAAAGCGTGAACGGCAGCCCTTCGATGCCGTCTCTTCGTCACCTTTTCTGCACACGATGAAATTCTACTCAGTCACTCCCACTTCATCTGCTGGCTCCCACCTCTCAATCAGAGCATCATTGGGCAAGGCATAGGAAGGGCTAGCTCCACTCCGCCGGGCCAGTAACTCGCCAACTCTGGCCTTCAACCTCTCCTTCGAGATAAGTTCCACAGGTGTCTTGCCATCAACATCACACAGAGACATATCCGCCCCAGCTTCCAGAAGCACTCTGGCGGACTGGTAGTGATTCAATAAACAAGCGAGATGCAGCGGCGTCTTTCCATCTGACCGCTGGGCGTTGGCATCTGCTTTGTGCTCAAGAAATGTCTGCATCATTAGAGGAGTGTGAGAGTAGCCCGCTGACGGCTTTGCTGTGCGAAACACAGTGTGCATGGGCGTTTCCCCCTCCAACGTCCGCGACGATACCTCACCCCCGTGCTCAATCAAAAGAATCGCCAGGTCGCGACTTGCCATTTGTGGGTTGAGATAGTGGAGCGCCTGCCAACCCTGAAGGTCTGCGGAGCTACAAGATGCACCTTGTTCAAGCAAGGTCGTTTAAGTTGACCAATTGAAGTTGCGCCCGACCGCATGCATGAGAGGTGTTCTGCCATCTTGATCTGCAATGTTGATATCCATCCTGGCAGCGAGGACTCGCACGATGCCATCCGAGTAAGCAGAATCTTCTCCAGCGAAAAGCAGATGGAACACTGAGAGACCGCTGCCATCGCACACATCCATTCGCGCACCGCATCGGTGCAGTATGGGAACGTTATGCACAGCGTTGTGGGACCCGATGGCATGCATCAGGGGCGTTCTTCCCTTCTTATCAACAGCTTCAACCGAAAGACCACTGTCAACGAGAAGTCGAATCATCTGCTCGTCTGTCCATCTACAAGCACGATGTAGCGCTGTCTGTTCCTGGCTGTCTGTTGCGTGCAACAAGGCGTCATCCTTGAGAGCATCACGAAGATAACGCATTCCCAGGGCTCGCTGCTGGGGATTTCCCCATTCCGGATGAGAATTCCCAGAGCAAAGATGGTGCAAAGCAGTCCTGCCCTCGTGATCGCGAGCGTCAGTTACAGCTCCACACGTGAGAAGCTCCTGCAAAACAACAGCGATGCCCCGCGAGGCATAATGTAACAGTGGGGTATTGCCTGTATCATCCCGAAACTCGAGGTCGCAGTGCTTAAGGTATTCCCGGAGGATGCCCCGCTGCTCTGTCTGTTCGGACCTTGAAGCAGTTACGTTCAAGGCCCAATTAGTGAATTGTGGCACACCACCGTTATTGTTCCTTAAGGATGGCTTTGCGCCATACGCAAAAAACAAGGCGACCTCCTCAGGGCTCGTTGCAGTGTCGAGGGCTTCTCTAACGTACTTTTCGTCAATTTCCGCATGGCAAGCTTCGAACAGCAGACGCCTGAGCTCGTATCCTTTGCAGGTTTCAAGTGGCGTCCGCCCTGCTTCATCCAATGCTAGCGGGTCTGCGCCATGTTGTAGGAGCACCTTCATTGTGGCGACATCTGTGACGACATGGAGAGGAGTCTCTCCGTAGTTGGCGAGGGATGCTGTACTAGAAACCCCTGTGCAGCTTTCGTGCTCCAGTAATATATTCACCGTCTCATAAAGGCCCTTCCTTGCAGCTGCATAAACCGGCGTGCGGCCTGTCCAGTCTTCAAACACCACCGGGGTGGTCATCGCCCCGCTTTGAAGCAAGAGCGGTACGAGGCAAAGCATACTCGGGGGGCATTCGTGGATAAGCCAAGGCAGCGGTGCCTCTGGTCCAAAGGAGTCGTTAGGATCGGCTCCAACTTGGAGAAGCGCCTTGACCATGTCGACGTCGTGGGCCATCATGGCTGCAAGAATGAGTGGGAGCGGTTGATTGAACCCTTGGCGATCTGAATTCTTACTGACAGGAATCAGAAGTTTTGGGTCTTCCTCGACGTCCTTGAGTACCTGTCGCCTGTGACCCAAAAGTGTTCGTAAACTAGACCGATCTATTTGCTGGAGGATAATGGGGAGATGGCAATTGAAAGCGTACAGCCCAAACCAAGCCTGGCACAGGTCATTCGATGGCTCAGTCAGACTGTTGTAGAGTGTTTCCAGCTCCATAGGAAGTTTGCCGGACTCGCGGACGTGTATTGGCCAATAAAGAGATGCGTATATGATAAATGGGTAAGTGGTGTTGTAAAACTGGTTTAGTGTATATGTCGTTTGGTTGATCAACTCTTCCAATGGGAGTCCTTCTGTCTTCAGGAGCACCGGTTGTCCGGTGCTACTAAGTAGGTCCTGTTGACTTAGTGCCCAAATGCATATCTTTACTGTTGTCATGTGGGCTTCCTCGAGACTGATAGATCCTTGCCAAGTCAACGCTTTCAGAGGGTGCGCAGGCGGTGGCCTCGTGAAGAACTCTCGCCCAGTTTCATGAAGAAGGTATATGCTGCTGTCCTGGATGATGATGAAGAGACCACACCATTGCTTCAAGGCGTCTTCGAATTGCGAATCATCGAGAAGATCATCGAGCAAGGCATTTAAAGATGATGTGGACGATGATAACTGCATAGCCACGCTCATCTCTCTAACTTTCAAGGGTCGCTGAGCAGCAATGATCAGACTCATAGCAGTACGCATCAGGCCTTGATTAGCAGTTGTGCTCAAGATTTGATCGTACGCTTCGTTGAAATCTTGAGGAAGCTCAGACAGAAGTTTGTCGATATTTTGACTAGTGGGTAAAAACCCGCGAGACGCGCGGCCGCGCCTCGGCTCGAGAGCATCAAAGATGAGACGTATCCAGAGATAAGTCGGGTTTTTGACCTGTAACATTCGTTCTTTGAGTCGTTGTTTCATGCGTTCAGGCCACCGAAGCTTGCTGATGCGCTGCTCGACCACTTTTTCAACCTCGGCAGTGATCAGGGCAGTCGCTTGCTCATCGTCTCCGCGAGTTTTAAAAATTCCAGTTTCATCGCCGTCTTCGAATCCGTTGATGATGTAGTCGTACGGACGTGTCGTTACGAAAAGTGGTAGGCTACCGTCTGTGCGGTGGTGATCTAGAATGAAGTCACCAATCTGATCGTCTTTGCATTGATCCAAAGCATCAATAACCAACGCCATGCGGCCAGCCTCAGGATCTCCAGCCACTGCTTCAAGGATCTGCCACAGGACTGCAGAATTGTGGACAATGGTTTTCCCTCGACGCTCGTATTCGTCGAAAGCATGGTGAATAAGAACTTCGTGTTGTGTAAAGACCTGGTGAAGCATGGAGCACAGCGCTTGCGCCGTGCTGTGTTGGTCGAAGAAGAAGTAACATGTGGTCGTAAACCCACGTCCAGGAAGGACTGTGTCGATCAAATATCTGGAGATGACCGACTTGCCGCACCCTGGGAGTCCGGTGGCAAGATGGAGTCCGGACTTGTGGTTCAAGCAAGCATGGAAAGAGTCGCTTTCGAGAAGCCATCTGCCAGTGCCTCCAACCATGCTCACGATGCGATCCTTGGTCTTCTCTGGGCCAGCATCGTAGGAGACCTGTTCGGCGAAAAGTCGCATCAGCTCAGTCTTCTCCACCGACTTGTCAGAAACAAGCTTGATTGCCATATTGTGAAGCTCTTTCAATGTAGCCTCCACTCGCTCAGAAGATGCGAGCTGTTGTTTGGCCGTTTCGCCGTTCTGAGAGGACACCACCAGAATCTCCTTGCTGGTCGCAAGATTATCCTTTGACAAACCCTCCAGAGCAGAGAGATGTATGTGCCACTTCTTCTGGACCTCGATAGCTTCCTCTCTCATAAGTTCGAGGGAATGATTGGTTTTTGCTGAGAGGATACACTGGTTCAGTTCTTTGACATCGACTTCCCGAGACTCGACTGCCTGAGTCAAAGCTGCCCAGTCAGTCAAGCAGAGTGCATCGACGGCGAACAGCTTGAGACGATTTCGATAAAAGCGGAGAACACTTTGTATTTGGAAGTCGAGGATCGCTTTGTAAAGCTCAATGATGCGCTTTCGAAGCTCTGCTATCTGAGCTGTTATCTCGGAATGTGTTCCTTTGTCCGAGGACCTGTCATTGGTGGCGCTTTGGTTGGTGCCTTTGTTGATCCCCAACAAGTGTGTTTCCTGCGCGACGTAATACTGCATCAGAGACGTAACCTTTTCGTAGCCGTTTTCGTGCGCTTCAGTCGTCGAGATTGGGTTCGTGAGTAGAGGTAGCGCCAAAGAAACAACGGCCCAGGCTACAGAAGCTTCAGGAGATAAAGCCACAGCTTGGCCAACCCATCCCTGGGCCCATTGGATGAAAGACAGCCCTTTCTTGACCTGGTCCCCAACGTTAATCTCAGTTTCTCCAATGTGGAACTTAATCTGTTCTGAGTCTCTCTTTTCCAAGCCGAGTTCCGTGATCCTCGTCATCTGTCTACGTCGGCTGCTCTGATCTGAAGTAATGGCATTGTCCACTGTATTCACATCGATACGATGTGCATCTACATCCCCGCTGACTCCGACTATAATCATTTGAGAAACAGTTAGAAGGGTCTGTACATTGCTGGTCATGGTGTTGACAATTACCTGGCGGGTCAAGATGTGTGGCTTGAAGCTTGCTTGAAAGTATCTTTTCGTACTTTTCCACCCTTTGTTTGCTCTCATCATTGTCATCGCGAAGCGCATCATAAGCAACGTCCCACAAAGAAGGAGATGACGACGATGCACAAGACTCGAGGCTTTCAGGGCTAAGCGTGTCTTGCAAGTTATCTCCTTGCTTAACCACTGTAGAGCCTCCAATTTGCGTCAATTTTGTAGACATGTCAGTCGACACTTGGTCTATGGTGACTGTACTGGGTGGCTCCTGGGCAAAGGAACCATTTTGATGGCTGGTTTGGTTGCGCCTCGATAAGAGAGTGAGGAGTCTAGATCGACGGCGAGATGGGGTTGCTGAAGCTTCGATACCCTCGGGCCGACGATTCTTGTCTACTTGGCGACGCATTTCCTCCAGAAGTCGTACTTAGGAGAATGATAAGTTCAAACGAGAGTGTCATGGGAAGCACACGAGGACATTTGTTTTCCACAACCACTCATGTTATATTACAATCGTCATGTTGTGTACTGCCAGTACAAACATCTCCTTGCCGCTGAGGAGGGGCAGGATTGGAAGTGTCCAGGGTCTGGCGCATGAGATTTGCGTAGTCATGCAGCTGGCCGCGCTTACAGACCACTGCCACTTGATTCCGGGAATGCTATTGGGAGGGTTCGACGCCTCGAGCCGGGATTTATCATAACCGCGTGAACTTCTGGTACCAACCGAAACATGCTTCTGCTCAACTCACTGGGCGATACCTGATGGCAAAAAACCACGTTCTCTGCCTTGGGGGGTCATTCGGCGTAAATTAGCAAAACACAGCCTTCCGCGCACCATTGCAGCAATGTGAACGTCCTCCATACTGGCAGTGGAATGGGGCATACTGGCTGCTCTTCAGACGTTACTGTGGACGCCGCATCTACCTGACTCTGACAGGATTAGCGGGAATAATGATGTGGACGGCGGCGCTTATTTCGACCCACTTGTTCACCGACAACGGGTATTGACCGAAAAGCACTGGCTGTCAATTGACTGTCGAACCACCCCACCGAGGTGAGGAACCCCGCCAAAGATCAGTGACCTTGAGCATTTCCTAAATTACGGCTTGACGAATGCGAAGAGCCTCCCACCTCAAGCTCGGCAGCATCGCCTTTGAAAATGGCGTCCCAACAGTAAGTCTTTCGCTTCTCTTCGATGAACCGTGCTGAATCATCTCTCTTGCCCAGACAAGATGCGACACCAAGCAACCCGAGAGGCATCCCTACTGCGCCTTTCGTCGACAAGGTCGAGGACTACGTTTCCACCCGCGCTGATGTCGAGCCTACTTTGCGCAACTTTCAGGAGATGATCTCGTAAGTTGCACTTGGGTTTACAGAGATATGGTCTGTGTCGGCAATCACAGCATATACGACCACGGGGATCCTGGAAGGAAAAACTCGTCATGGGAAGATGCTCGACGTAGTAACACATGACCTTCCAGGAAGTACCAGTTCATGGAGTTGAATCTCCAGAAACGAATGGGTGGCCTGAACGATAAGATTCCCGATATACAGAAGACTTTGGATTCAGTTCGCTTCTTGAAGCTGAGGAAGGTACGCAATAGCCAAAAATCTCATAGCTACTACGCAGATGCTGATCAAGCCTAGGATGATCCCGAGCCCGTGGAGACCACCTTTGAGCTTAACGACACGCTGTATGCGAAAGCAAAAATACCCCCGACCGACGAAGTCTATATCTGGCTCGGCGTATGATCCTTCGAATGTAAAGGAGGGTAAATGGTCAAGTTTGCTGACATGGTGCACAGGCAAATGTAATGCTTGCATACGAAATTGACGAAGCCGAAGCTCTGCTCGAGTCTAAGCTCTCAACAGCGAAACTGAGTTTGTCAAATTGTGAAGAGGATCTCGACTTTCTGAGAGAGCAAATTACAGTGCGTTAGCCCTGAAATGCCTTCGAGTCGCTCTTGCTAACCCCTTGCGCAGACTATGGAAGTTGCAATTGCGCGGGGTGTACAACTGGGGAAGTCGTCCAGAAGAGAAAAGACAAGGGAAACGAAGAAAAGGAGCCAGAGAAGGAAGGGGAAGGAGAGAATGGAGAGCCTGGCGCCTGGGCTGAAAAACCTGACGACTACATACATCATCCCGAGCCATCTCATGACAAAGCTTGCGCCCATCAGCGCTGAATAGGCCCGCTTAGCCCAACCTGTTGGGTTGGGCAGCACAACAGACCTACCGATATTCTCAGCAGAGGACATGAACAACTGCCTAGGAAAGAAAATGAGGACTGCTGATGGTAGATATCATTCATGATCTCCATGTGGTCCCGTAGCCTCAGATACCTCCCGGGACCCTAGGTACTACATCAAATACCGTAGAGACGTTACGCCTCGAGCGTCGATTCTCTGCACAGAACCAACTACTTATGTGCCATTTCTTGAACAAGCGACAAGTGAGTTGGGAAAAAATTCAGCATCGTCGGGCTTTTGATAAGAGTGGGTTAGGTTCGATCCAAGCTTGAAACTTCTCCATGATCCAAATCCCTCTCTTGACTGAGGGGTACAAAAGCTCGTGGTGGGTTACGTAAGGATTAAAGTGGCGGGCTTCCCGTCTTCCGTCGTCACTGGTGGAGGCGCGGCGGGGCGGGGCAGCCTCCTTAATTCGACCGTGACCGCTGTCTACTAAGCTGCTCTGTTTCCTACATCTACAGAGGCTTCAAGATAACCATAGCACCCGCAGGCTCTCACGTACGACGTCAAACCACTCATCGCAAAAGACAGCCTTCAAATACTGTTAACATGGCAGCCCAGACACAAATTGCGCCTGAGCTTGCTGCTCCTGAGCTTGATTCGAGCTACGACAAATTTGACTACCCCACGAAAGCTGCTGTGGCTCAGGATGGCCATCCCGGACACTGTACCGAGGCGCAGAAGGCCCAAATTCACCAACTGCGCATGATGCTCGAGGCTGAGGGCATCACGTCCCGCCTGGACACCTTGACACTGGTAAACATGGCCAAATGAGACGATCCGGGGCGTTGTGCTGACAGAACACCTCAGTTGCGCTTCCTGAGGGCACGCAAGTTTGATGTCAACGCTGCGAAGGCCATGTTAGTCACAATTGTCGGCTAGGTTCCCGTATGAGGTCTAACAGTACGCCAGGTTCGTCGAGTTTGACAAGTGGCGCAAGGAGATTCATCTGGATGCTCTCGTACCTACTTGGGATTACAAGGAGAAGGAGCAGATGCTCCAGTACTACCCTCAATACTACCACAAGACTGACATTGTGAGTTCTTGCTGGAAGGCTCCGAGCGAAGACCTGACTGACAAATTATACCTGATAGGATGGCCGACCCGTATACATCGAGCAGCTCGGTAGCATCAACCTGACCGAAATGCGCAAGATCACCACCGATGAGCGCATGTTGGACAACCTTGCTGTCGAGTACGAGAAGTGTGCCGATCCTAGGTTCCCCGCCGCCTCTGCCGTCAAGGGCTCGCTTGTCGAAACTTGTTGCACAATCATGGACCTCAAGGGCATTAGCCTTGGCAACGCATCTCAAGTCTACGGCTACGTCAAGCAGGCCTCTGTGATCTCGCAGAACTATTATCCCGAGCGTCTTGGCAAGCTCTACATGATCAACGCTCCTTGGGGCTTTTCTGCCGTCTGGGGCATGGTCAAGGGCTGGCTCGACCCTGTCACTGTCAAGAAGATCGACATTCTTGGCTCAAGCTACTCTAAGGAGCTCCTTAAACAGATCCCTGCCGAAAACCTCCCCGAGAAGTTCGGTGGCAAGTGCGTTTGCAAAGAAGGCTGCCACAACAGCAACGCCGGTCCTTGGCAGGAACCTCAGTGGAAGAACAGGGCTTGGTGGGATAAGCCTGAGGCTAAGCAGCAGGCTCTCGCGGCCCTCAAGGGCACCTCGAAGGATCCTCATGTCCTTGTCAACGAGGGCGGCGAGACAGTCATTGCTCCCACCGGTGCCGCCGGCGCAATCCCCGCCGGTACCGCCGACGCGGGCGCTCCTGCCAAGGCCACGGCTTAAGATTATTTAGTCACTTATGTCGTTTGGTAGCGTCGGTGTTGAAGGGGGTGGTTGTGGTGATAGCGGTATGATTGTGGTGCTTCGAAACAATGAAGTAAGAGATGGAAAATGCAGTTAAGGTGGAATGACTTTTGAGTTCAACACTGACAAAGGATAGAAGATCGGGGAGCTCATCCCCTTTCGCCCTGTATGGCTTCTGATGTTATACACTTGATGGACACTTGTTCAAAACATAGTACCTGCAGAGTAGTCACATCAATCGAGTTGCCAGGCACTAAAAGCCCAGCACTTCGTCTCAATTTAACATGAAGATCCCATATTTTTTGAATGCTCTGAGCCTCAGTCTGGTGTCTGAAGTAAATTCGTAAGCTGTACCTTGCTGAACTACTATGTACTGACCGCAGAGGCGGTTGGTCAAAGTACTCGAGAGGGTTATTATTGTAGTCAACGGACCTGTACTGAAGACCAAGATGGCGAGCTTACTAGATTGACCAATACACAGTATCAACAACATCTAGTACAGTTTTCCGATTTCGAGGACGGGGTGATGGTTATTGGATCATGTATATGCTACTTCATCCAATCTCATCCATAAGTTCATTAATCGTGTCTTAAAAACAGCTCAACTCAGCAGCCGAAGCCAACCCAAACTATGCAGCCCGAACTGGCTCGGAGGCAGGTGGCCATGGTCATCTCCCCGTAACAACATACTCGCCTGCCACTCTCGCCCTTTCCATCTTTGCCACGGTACTCGGCATCTCTCTTTTCACCTTTCCCAGGCCTTCAATGGCGCTTCGATGCGCGCTTTCAACTCCATCCTGTCTCTCGAGCACTCCGACATCGAGCCCTGCGCTTTCCAGATCGGCCTGACGTTTCCGCTCCGCCAATTCTTCTTCATCCCGCGTTCGCGCCTCTTTTAATCGTCTTGTCTGCTCTCCCGCCACTTCTGACGGTACGGTTTTCTTCAGCGCCGCAATTTCATTCAGCAGTTCCTCTTCCTGGCGTGCCAGATCCTCGACTTTTTGGCGCAGACGCGCATCCCAGGGTTCGTATTCGACTTGCGGCTCTAATTGTTTTTGTGCGTCGGCGTCGGGAGCGAGAAAGACTCTTGGCTCAGCGGGGAGCCCGTTCAGGGAGAGATTCGGCGCGGCGTGAGTGAAGGTCTTCGTGATATACTACAGAAGTCAGAACAGAACGCGGGTATCGAAAGTATATTTTGGGAACTCACCTCATTGATATGCTTCTCTATCTGTATCCTCAGCTCGTCCTCATCACCGGCGTTGCCTTCCATGGGTGGGAACGCATCGTTGAGGTGATCTTGCGCCGCGCGCCTCACGTTGGAAAGGAGGTAGGCGAGGTCCTCCGGACCCTGAAGCTCTATCCGCCTCTGCTCTGTAGATTCTGAGTCCATGGGAGTATGTGTGTATGCCCCCGGTATCGTGACAATGCGATGCCGGGCTACCTTCTTCAGCTTGTTGTTTTGTGTTTACCAGCGCACGCAGGTAGAGCGGGTCGCGACTTCCCCAGACCCACCATTTCAGGTCCCTCATCTTATCTTATCTGTAGGTAGTTATCAAGAATGCGCGCTAACCGAAAGCAAAAGTACCGACATCGGATTTCCCCAAGTGGAACTCACTCTACGTCAGTGTCAGTCCGCATTGCACCTTCAGAAGACGTCAGACAATAGACAGCTGCCATGACGCAACAAACTCAACCACAACGATATTCGATTTCGAAAAGACGCATCGGGTGCCCATCACACTGTGGAGTGGAAGCTTCATTTCCCTCCCTTGACAGCCTCATGGAACAGGATTGTCGTTCCCAGCTCAGCCGGGCGTATGGCCGCCCAAACCGATGAGCACGCCCCATCCACTAAGGACGCCTTGCACTATAGATGTGCGGGGGCGGACCTGCATACGGCCGGACCCGCGGTCGAATCAGACACTGTACGGTGAGACCTTGGCCTAGGTGCCTAAGAAAGCAACTCTGGGGGGCTGGACCTCCAGAATCGCATGCGCCTGTGAAAGACCTCTCCTGAACCATGACTCTACAATGGTCACTTGAACGCCCCACTTTGTGGCCGACAGTACCGCGATAACAGTGGTCTGCCATTTCAATTTCAAGTATCGTAGTGGATGAATGCTTGATAGGAAAGCATACTTGGCGGTGAGTCCTAAGGCTATCCACAGTTGTGGTTGGAAGTGTTCGAAAGCCTCGAACAGACCTTGCACAATCTGAGAGTGGGTCGGTCAAAAGCGCTACCTCTCTCTCTTTCTCGGCGAGGGCTGAAATACCACCCAGACGAAGATCGAGAGCAGTGGTTTGCTTTTCGGACAATCTGAGTGAGCGCCTTGCATGACCACTCTTCTCCTCATCAGCCGAGCACATGTCAAGAGCTCAGGGTTTCCCCCGTTAGCCGGGTCGCCGTCCTGGGCCTCCAACAGGCCTGTAATCTTCCAGGCGATCGACAACCAAGATCTGTTGCCAGGATTGTTCAATGGGCAAGACCGCGTCCCCGACCTCTCGCTATTCAGTTGTCATAGCCTGCTTGTCATAACCTGCTTGTCATAACCTGCACTACCTCATGATCATCCGGCAGTACGAGAGTTCCGGCACAGACATCAAGGAGTCTATACGAGCCTGCAACAACCAGCAAAAGAACCTCCACGGCCCACCGTGGCCCTGGGCCTCGAACGCTAAAGACAAGGAAACGTATCATTCACAGTGATCCTCCCAACAGAACGGCCCGACTCCATCTTTGGCAACAAGTCATAGGAGTGTATGTTTCAACGGGGATCTACAAGCAATCACGCATTCATGTAGTGCATCTGTTTTGGCATATATTTAGCGTTGTGTTGGAGGACCGCATGGTGCTGTTCCTCAAGGTCAAAGGGTGCCAACGTGAGTGGGATGACATGACATATGCCGCGGGTTCCAGGGGGCGCAGGTGGAACCCTGAGAGGCCACCCTGATGCGGAGAGAGTGGAGCCGAGCTGACAGCTAAGCTGCCCCGTAAGTGGCCTCATCCACTGGCTTTGTTGGGCGTGGGCGCCGCTGGGGCCGCCTGGTCCAAGTCCAGTCACTGTTGGGCGTTAGAGGATGGCTCGGTGGCTACCACGATCAGGGTCCAACTATGTTTCATCGCATCTCTGTGAGTTGTTCCTCCATGCAAGCTGGCGTCGCACATTGGCTGCAAGTAATCATTCTCGTTGGGCCGCTGAATCCGTGAGTTGTCTGTTGGTGGCCTTCCAACGTTGCATCCAGAGTCCTCCCCGTCAGGGGGCTTGAGCAGGTTGTCAGCTGGCGCATGGATCCACAGGCGATCATCTTGTCTTGGAACCAATTCACGACCCTTTGGGTGGTGACGATGAGTAGTGTGTTTGACTACCTACGGTACTGCAGCCCGATCCGATCGTATGTAATAGAAGTAGAAAACACCAAAAACGCCCTTTCCAGAGGACCAGGTGCATTGCATAGAATAAACAATAAAACCGAAGACCGAAGACCAACGCCCCTAGTGCCCTTCCATCCTTACTAGTAACTCCATGTTTGAATCCTCAGCCCGAACACCCAAAGCAAGGACATCGTCGATGGCCAAAAGTAGATACGCCGCGGGCATGAATCATAGTTGTTGGCCAAAGATCATTGCGGGAGCATGCTCTTGGACTCCTCATCTGTGAGTACAATATCGTGGACAGGGTCTCGTCGATTCTCAATCGGCTCGTAATCGCAGTCGACATAGGGTGGGAGGAAGATCTCTGTAGTGGGTTGTCAGTAAGCTGTCGCGCATTCACCAAGGGTCCTTCATACCTGGGTTCCAAAGATATCCTTGACTTGAAGACAGGTAAGAGAGCTATGAGAAGTGTCAGCAGGGATAAGTTCCAGTCGACTTGTGCATCACTGCATGCTTACCAGGCGGGGAGGGCCATCAGGGTCGCCGATGTTGATAACAGTGCACTCTTGCTTGGAGATGGCGGAGCCTAGAGCCGTGTTAGCGATCTGGCACCCGAAGCGTCAAAGCTGTCAAAGGCTCGAACGCCTGGGATGGGCCGAGTGGGAGCGTACTGAGAAGGCTGGGGCGACGGCCGTGGAACATATCCTGCTTCTGGACTGTCGGTGAGGGGTTCGTCTGAGGCGAGCTGGAGTACGAGGACGATGAGCTGGCTGCGGCCTTGGAGGCCTGGCTGCCCCGATAGGCAGCACCCGACGTGGGCGTCATGGGAATGGCAATCGAGGCCGACATGGTGAGATGGCAGCAAAGGCTGGCAACGTAGTTTATGGAGGGAAGATAAGCAACCAGAACGTTGACGCCAAAACTCCCCAGACAGACAGTCGCAGGAGACGATAGGAGGTGAGGGACAACGACGAGGGGTAACAACGGGAGGAGTGCTTCTTAGTCGCAGGACACTTTGAAGGTTGCAAGAGAAGAGGAATCACGAAGTGGGAACAGTCGGGGCGACAAGACGAAAGTGTGGTAGTCGTACAGTGCGGTCACGGACAGGTTGGGTTGGAAGGCAGCATGGGAAGGCAGGAAGGCAGGAAGGCTCTCAGGCGGCAGGTGGACGCCGGACCGGCAGGTAGCACTGGACGAAGCTCTAACTGGATATGCCTGACCGATGTGAATCACGCCCACGCCGTATCAGTCCAGGTGGACAGGTGGGATGATGTCGGAGTGGGGGAAGCATGTTAGAGCTGCAGCCTACCGAGTGGTTAGCTGAGATAACAGTGGATACTGTCCCGCTTTGGACGACTAATGGCCAATCGGAAAGTGAGGCTACCTGCCATGTTGGGGTCGGAGCCTGTCGTCAATCACGCAGCACCAAACTCACCGAGGTGAGCAAATCACGTGACTCACCTGATGGCTCCGGCGAGACATGCACTACCTCTGACTAAGCCTGCAGGCTTGGGAGGCGGCTGCGTCTCCCGTTGACGCCTACAGGAGCAGTCAAGCCAGACAACACCGAAGGTCGTCGAAACATCAACCTCGCCGCCATCTATCATTCACCCCCCCTCGTTCCCGCGCCACGACCCGACGAATTTTATCTCGTAACACATCAATCGAAACAAGCTCATCTCTTCACGACAAACAACACAGCCGTCAAGATGGGCGACGTCCTTGTGGAGAACCCAGCAAACCACATCCCTCCCCACAAGAGGACCGCGCCTTCAACGATTCCAAGCATCGACAACTTCGAGGGCTTGACGGCAGAGGGCGGAGACGACTATGCCGCGTTAAAGAAGCTCCAGAGGCAACTGGAGTATATCCAGCTGCAAGAAGAGTACATCAAGGATGAGCAGAGGTTCGTCGTTACCTTGAGAAGGGCAACCTAGCTCTCACCGACTGTGACTAACGAAGCAACCCAGGAGTTTGAAGAGGGAGCTTGTGCGAGCCCAGGAGGAGATCAAGCGCATCCAGAGTGTACCGCTGGTCATTGGCCAGTTTATGGAGGCTATCGACCAGAAGTAGGCAACAGGCCCAGTCCAAACGTCAAAAACGTTAAGCTTACCTTTCTAGTACCGGCATCGTCCAATCCTCCACAGGCAGCAACTACGTCGTGCGCATACTCTCGACCCTCGATCGCGAGAAGCTCAAGCCCTCCTCCTCCGTTGCTCTGCACCGTCACTCCAATGCTCTTGTCGACATCCTGCCCCCCGAGGCCGACTCCTCCATTGCCATGCTTGGCTCAGATGAGAAGCCCGACGTGACGTACGCCGATGTTGGTGGTCTCGACATGCAGAAACAGGAGATTCGTGAGGCTGTTGAACTTCCTCTGACGCACTTCGACCTCTACAAGCAGATTGGTATCGACCCCCCTCGTGGTGTCCTGCTGTACGGGCCTCCAGGTACCGGCAAGACAATGCTGGTCAAGGCCGTCGCCAACTCGACAACCGCCAACTTCATCCGTGTCGTCGGCTCCGAGTTTGTGCAGAAGTACCTCGGTGAAGGTCCGCGCATGGTCCGCGACGTCTTCCGCATGGCGCGCGAGAACGCTCCGGCAATCATCTTCATCGACGAGATCGACGCCATCGCGACAAAGCGTTTCGACGCCCAGACCGGTGCCGACCGCGAAGTCCAGCGTATTCTTCTTGAGCTCCTCAACCAGATGGACGGCTTCGACCAGACCGCCAACGTCAAGGTCATCATGGCCACGAACCGCGCCGACACGCTCGACCCCGCCCTGTTGCGTCCCGGTCGTCTCGATCGCAAGATTGAGTTCCCTTCGCTGCGCGACCGTCGCGAGCGCCGTCTCATCTTCTCCACAATTGCCTCCAAGATGAGCCTCGCGCCCGAGGTCGATCTCGACTCCCTCATTGTCCGCAACGACCCCCTCAGCGGCGCCGTCATCGCCGCCATCATGCAGGAGGCCGGCCTGCGCGCCGTCCGTAAGAACAGGTATAACATCATCCAAAGCGATCTCGAGGACGCCTACTCCAGCCAGGTCAAGGGCACAGCGGACGACAACAAGTTTGATTTCTACAAATAAGTCAGCCATCGCGACTGGACCACGGAGGACGGAGGACGCGGTTGTGTTTGGTTGATGGGCGCGGCCGAGACAATTGGCCATGTAATACGACAGACTCAAGCGCAGGCTTGGGCTCGAGGCGTACACGGGTGGGACGGCGTGGGGGGCTCGATAGATCGCGGACCGGGCAGGCGTCGAGGATGCTTGCCATGGCTGTACAATACACCGTTTTCCCACAACCTATTCCGACGAAACACGATGTCATTCTGGTTTCGTGTCAAGGCATCATGTGCTTCTCAGGCCACAGCGGTCACCTTCTCATTGCGCCATGTTTGCATAACATTGACATATGATGGAAACGCAATCGTGAATTCTAAGTGTATCCCGCCTTCCGCATTCAGCAACCAGATGTACATCAAAGGAATAAAAAGGCTTGACAAGAAATCAACCGTTGCCCGTCGCGAGGCACCCTATCATCCATCTATCCGTGTTTTCGTTTTCCCTCTCCAACCGTCTATGTCCGTAGCCGTCATAAGTAGTGCAGGCCCCCCCAAAGGCGTCAATACTATGGTAGACGCTGAGCCGAAACGCTCAAAAACACATTCCCTACAGAAAAGGGTCTATAAGAAAAAAGGCAAACAAGATGTATAAAACCAAGGCAAGGGACAAGAAAATCGCCGCCGTCGCTGATGCAGTCCCGCCACAAGCTCATACGCAGCATTGAATAAGAGATTCGACGAGCCTCCAGGGGGTATCGTTTGTGTGTTTTCGGTAAGCCGAGGGGTATATCCTCCGCTATCGCTTGTTCCTCGTTCATCGTCGTTCGCGCTATCAATCTCTCTCTTTCGCTCGCCAGTCAACTCGCTCCGACCCCCGAGTACTACCCGATAGATAAAGAGATCAAGGCGTAGCCGTATTAGCATTACCCATTATCTATTCGGTGGGGTCCTTCGTTCGAACAGATACTGTTGGCCTAAGGTTTTGATTTGAGCAACCGCGTGGTGCTCCAAGATGCCAGACGCGTACTGTGGCGTGAATTTCGACCATGTTTTGTACAGCTTGCTGGACCAAACGCATGTGGTCCAGATGATGAGTGATCAAGCGCGAA